TCCTATCGTGCTACACGCTGCCCAGTTTTTCCTGAAAGTTGACACAAAAGCCAGACCAATCATAAGGCAGAAGGGAGCGGTCCCCAGAGGTGGCAAAGCTGAAGGGGTCACCAAGGGGTAAGCCAGGATTAGATCCTCATTGATTATGACTAGGTAAAGATAAAGGTATTTTTGTTGTTGTTGTTTTTTTAATTAGATTTATATGCCGCCCTTCTCCGGAGACTCAGGGCAGCTTACAGTGCATTAAGCAATAGCCTTCATACTTTTGTATATTATTTATTTATTTATTTATTTATTTATTTATTTATTTATTTATTTATTTTTCAATTTATATACTGCCCTTCTCCCTAAGGACTCAGGGCGGTGCACAGCCAGAATTAAGAACATAAACTACAAATATTAATCTTCTCTGTATCGTTCCAATTTTAGTATATGTGCTATTAAGAACAATTAAAATATATATAAAATTTGGCCCCAAAATTTAAAAATTAAATTAAAACAATTTTAAAAATTTAAAAATTTCTTCTTAAGCCAGCCCGGCTTGCTGGAAAAAGTGGGTTTTAAGGGCACGGCGGAAGGCACTGAGGTCTTGGATTCTCCTTATCTCTGGGGGCAACTGATTCCAGGATTTATACAAAGTCAGCTTATTGCCCCCACAAACTGGGTCCTCAATTTACCTACCTCAGAAAGGATGGAAGGCTGAGTCAACCTTGAGCCTGGGGAGATTCGAACTTGCAATAATTGCAGACAGCTGAATGTTAATAACAGGCTTTTTAGTCTGTTGAGCTATCCAGGCTCCTAGGTTTCCCTCGCACATGACCCAAACTAGGCAACACCATCAGTATAGAAGAGAGTGGAATTTGGGAGGAGGAGGAAGAGGAAGAGGAGGAGGGGGAGGAGAAATATGGAGTCCTGGGTGCTCTTCGAGCTTGCTTCTTTTCTTGCAGGCATTACATCACCCAACTAAGTCACATCATCAGTGCTGGAAGGGAGTGGGGTTTGAGGAGGTGGTGGCGGAGGAGGAGGACTGTGGGGGAGGGGTGTCTTTGATGCTTTCTGAGCTTGGTTGTTTTCTTGCAGACATTTCATTACCCAACTAGGTAACATCATCAGGACTAGAAGAGACAGGAGGAGGAGGAGGAAGAGGAGGAGGACGACGATGACGACGACAACAGTGGGGTCCTTGGTGCTCTCTGAGCCTGCTTGTTTTCTGGTGGATGTTTCATTGCCCAACTAGGTAACATCATCAGGATTGGAAGAGACAGGTGGAGGAGGAAGAGAACTACCGGGTCCCTTGGTGCTCTCTCAGCTTGCTTATTTTCTGGCAGAAATTTCATTACCCAACCAGGACTTTGCAGCCAAAACTCCGTATCTCGTTGTATTTTTTTTTTTTACAGCCACATAAATCACACCCAGCGTGGAGAGTTTATGTTTTTCCCCCTCCGTTGTTTTTTAGCCGGTTGCACACTTTTTCTACAAGTCACGGGGAAGAGAAAAGAAAAAAAACACCTCCACCTTTCCTTCCTCTGCGGAGCTGCCGTTTCCCCTCTTCTCACTTGCAAACCTGCCAAGGTTACCGAGAAAAGTTCCAGATGGGTTACGCACAGGGGTGGGTTCTCAATTTTTTTTTGCTACCGGTTCTGTGGGCGTGGCTTATTTTGTGGGTGTGGCTTGGAGGTCATGTGACTAGGTGGGCGTGGCTAGCTGGTCAGAGTCATTTCTGGAAGGTCCTCGCACTTACGACCAGTCCTCGCACTTACGACCCGACTCATTTGTTTGCTTTTAACACTGATCAGCTGTAGGGCGGCCCTTTGAAGCCCCGCGGCAAGAGTTTAAACAGTTTTTTTCCTCCCTCTAGTCATCAGCTGGGACTCAGGAGGCAGCAATAGATGGGGGGTGGGACCAAATAACAGGTAAGAATAACGTGGGAGGGCGGGGGGGAGAACCGGCTCGGTGATGTCATATCGTCACCGCTACCGGCTCGGCCGAACCGGACCGAACCGGGAGGAACCCACCACTGCTAGTTGGGTAATGAAACGTCTGGAAGAAAACAAACGATCTCAGAGAGTTTAGTTGAGACAAAACTAAACTAAAAGTAAACTTTCTAAATATTTCTTTCCTCTGGAGTGGAAAAACGGTGCTGTCTGTCTGTCTGTCTGTCACATATATGTGTCATCAATACAGTCTGCCCTTCCATACGGATGGGCGATTAAGGCTCACCTATCCCAAAATTGCTGCTCTTCTTCGGAATGAATTCTCCTTCGGGAAACTGGCACACATCCATCTCCCTCTGTATCTCTGCCACAAGCGATGCGCAAGGGCCCTGTCGGAACAAGGATGGTCTTCTCCCTTCTTCCCAGCCTCCTGGCTAGACTTTTTTATTTATTTATTTATTTTCTCATCAGGCTCTTCACTTTCTGACTGATGCAATCACATTCTGGAAACTTCCCTTTCGAGATGGTGCACCAGCGGCTTCCTGGGAGTGAGGAAGGATGAATTTTCTGCACTCAGATATGCCAGATCTTGCCTCTTATCGGACGCAGTCGCATTCACGACAAACCATTTTATACCAAATTTATATTTCGCTGATAAAGAAATAAAGGGAGGAGAACTTGTGGCTCAGAGGTTAATACAACTGCCTAACATACAGGCAGCCCAAGTTCGAATCCAAGTAAGGGTATGGCTAGCTGATGAGAGCTAAATAGCTTGAAATAGATCTATACTAGTCTCCCTTTATTTCTTTATCAGCGATATATATATATATATTTATTTATATCTGCATAGCAATAGCACTTAGACTTATATACCGCTTTACAGTGCTTTACAGCCCTCTCTAAGGGATGTGGATCTCTAAAGGACATCATCAGTGCTGACAGAGAATGGGGTTTGCTCTCTGCTAATTGATTTCTAAGGGAGGCAGTGGCTCAGTGGCTAAGACGCTGAGCTTGTCGATCGAAAGGTCGGCAGTTCGAATCCCTAGTGCCGCGTAACGGGGGGGGGGGTGTCTCCCATGATTTCTCCCAGCTTCTGCCAACCTAGCAGTTCGAAAGCACGTAAAAACAAATGCAAGTAGAAAAATAGGGACCACCTTTGGTGGGAAGGGAACAGCGTTCCGTGCGCCTTTGGTGTTGTCATGCTGGCCACATGACCACGGAGACTTCTTCAGACAGCGCTGGCTCTTCGGCTTTGAAACGGAGTTGAGCACCGCCCCCTAGAGTCGGGAACAACTAGCATGTATGTGCAAGGGGAACCTTTACCTTTACCCCTCTCTCTAAGCAGTTTACTTAGTCAGCCTCTTGCCCCCAACAATCTGGGTCCTCATTTTACCCACCTCGGAAGGACGGAAAGGCTGAGTCAACCTTGAGCCTGGTGAGGAGGTTACTGCAAAATCCCCATTTCCTCCCAATGAGGGCGGGGCCAGTCACAATTTTTACTACCGGTTCTCCGAACTACTCAAAAATTCCGCTACCGGTTCTCCAGAACTGGTCAGAACCTGCTGAAACCCACCTCTGGTGCCTTTGCAACTTCAAGCAGTCACTAAATGAACTGTTGTATGTCAAGGACTAGATAGATAGATAGATAGATAGATAGATAGATAGATAGATAGATAGCTGTAGATGGATGGATGGATGGATGGATGGATGGATAGAGGCATACATATAGATATACTGTAATTATTGGTTTGGGCTAGTTCTGTGTTTTTCAAACTTGGCAAAATTAAGATGCATGGATCTCAATTCCACGCTGGCTGGGGGGTTCATTTTTCAATGCTGTTGTAATTTGGAACGGTCACTAAACAAACTGTTGTAAGTTGAGGACTAACTGTACAGAGAATAAAGGTAGCTCAGCCGAATGCCTAACACCGCCACGCAATCTCGTGTTCCCGTTGCCTGCCGCAAACGGGCAAACCTGCGCCACAAAGAGGCGCTGAAGGGGACATCTCCAGCGGCCCAGCATCAAACCATGATGTTAGGGGATTAAGAGGAATAATAGCTGACAATATTGACTTAAGACGGGGCACAATAGAGCCACAATTAACTCCCTGACATCTGGCAGACAGGTTTTCAGGCTTCGTCAAGTAATTACATCAATTTGTGTCCCGGTTGTCATCCCGAGGGGTGGGCGTGGGCGAGTGTGTCTTTTTAAACAGTGCCTCCAAGTGTGCTTCTCGTGAAAATTTCTCATCGTTGACTGCTGAAAAGTTTTCAAGAAAGCGATGGGACGAAGAGAGACAATAGAAATGGATGAAAGAGACAAATCCAGTTTATGTCGATCTATCATAGAGACAGCTTGGTCTAGTGGTTAAGGTAACTAGGCTAGAAACTGGGAGACCCTGAATTCTAGTTCCGCCTTAGGCACGAAAGCCAACTGGCTGGCTTTGGGGCCAATCACTAAGAGGCTGGGAGTTCTAGTCCCACCTTAAGTCATGAAAGCTGGTGGGTGACTTTGGGGCCAATCACCAGGAGGCTGGGAGTTCTAATCCCACCTTAGCCATGAAAATGAGCTGGGTGACTTTGGGGCCAATCACCAGGAGACTAGGAATTCTAGTCCCACCTTAGTCATGAAAATGGGCTGGGTGACTTTGGGCCAATCACTAGGAGACTGGGAATTCTAGTCCCACCTTAGTCATGAAAATGGGCTGGGTGGTTTTGGGGCCAATCACCAGGAGACTGGGAATTCTAGTCCCACCTTAGTCATGAAAATGGGCTGGGTGGCTTTGGGGCCAATCACCAGGAGACTGGGAATTCTAGTCCCACCTTAGTCATGAAAATGGGCGGGTGGCTTTGGGGCCAATCACCAGGAAATGGTGAGTTCTAGTCCCGGAAGGCATGAAAGCCAGCTGGGTGACCAGGAGACTGTGTCTCCTTTTACTTACTTAGTAACTGCAGTGACTTGCTTAAGAACGGTGGCAAAGAAAGCTAGTCCTTCTTCTCATCAAACGTATTTGATTTTTTGGGGAAGGAAGAGTTATCCCAAATCAACCACACAGCTTCTACAAATTTAACAGCTATTTTTTAATCCTTTTCTATGAACTTTCTTACCATCAATTCCAACGTAATTCTTTCGGCTCAATAAGGAACCAGCAAGCATCAAACCTGTCTACTCCAGCGAGTGGATTTATACACAAGTCGTCATCAGCCGGTGTCCCCTGATTTTGCGTGGATTCCTCAAACGCACAAAATATCTGCACGCCCAAGAAATCTTTTGCGACGTTGGTTGGGTTTTTTGGCATCCGTACGAGGCTGCTTGAGGTGGTTGTTGAAAATAAACCATCCCTGGAAGGCACAAGGCAGAACTTCTGAGAAAAGGAGCAGATATTTTTGGTGTCCATCTACCCCGGCTTTGGTACCAGTTCCAGCTCATCAACATTCATCTAGATATCTTCATCCAATGAAATAAATTGGAGGAGTGAACATTCCAGAAATGGGATCGGTTGGCAGAAGGCTTTCACTGGAGTTGGCCTGGTGGTGACTCTAAAAATAAATAAATATTGGCAGCATAAGGATATTGACTTCAATGGGAGACTTGGGTAGAGGGAATGTAGGTTCATTTCACAGACACAGGGGAATTGTAGAGATCTATGGAGATTCTCAGTCATCCAGTTGTGGTTGCCCGCAAAGGCAACTGGAGAAGGAAGGAAGGGAGGGAGGGAGGGGGGGAGGGAGGGAGGAAGGGAGGAAGGAAGGAAGGAAGGAAGGAAGGAAGGAAGGAAGGAAGGAAGGAAGGAAGGAAGGAAGTCTATGAAGATTCTCAGTCATCCAGGTCGTGGTTGCTCTGAAAATGCTTTTTCAAGAGGCAACTGGAGAAGGAAGGAAGGAAGGAAGGAAGGAAGGAAGGAAGGAAGGAAGGAAGGAAGGAAGGAAGAAAGAAAGAAAGAAAGAAAGAAAGAAAGAAAGAAAGAAAGAAAGAAAGAAAAAAACGTCTATGAAGTTTCTGAGTCATCCAGGAAGGTGCTTTTTCAAGAGGCAGGTGAACCTTCTTGGTTTTTTCCTTGAAGACATTTCGCTTCTCATCCAAGAAGCTTCTTCTGTTCTAACAGAAGAATCCTGAATGACCCGCCATTCAGTCAGAACTGAAGAAGCTTCTTGGATGAGAAGCAAAAATGTCTTCAAGGAAAAAAAACCCAAGGAAGTCCAGTTGTCTCTTGAAAAAGCATCTTGTGGGTAATTGCAGATGGTTTTCTGAAGAGTTGGCCATGGCCAAAAAACTCTGTCGAGATTCCAAACCAAGAGTGACATGTGAGGATTCTTCCAAGCTGAATTCTTTATTGTTTCACATCTAGAGACAAAAATCTTTCCAGCCTGAGGAGTTTATTACTTGCATCTACTATATACTCTGTGAACTGTTAAGAAGGGACTGACTTCATCCTCTTTCTATCACACATGATGTCCAGGCTGAGTTGCCTCTTACTCTTCTGGAATGGCCTCCTCCCTCCTGGGAACAGAGCATAAAATATAAAATATTTCTAGTCCAATTTTCTAGTCCAGTCCCCTGCCCAAGCAGGAGATCTTATAGGTTCTCCTGTTTGAGCAGGGGGCTGGACTAGAAGACCTCCAAGGTCCCTTCCAGCTCTCTTCCATTTCTATTTAATTCTAATTCTAATTCTACAGACCTCTCACACCCTGGACCTAAACTGTTTCACCTTCAACCCTCATAACGATGCTGTAGGGCACTGCACGTCAGAACAACTAGACACAAGGACAGTTTCCCCGCCTCCCATGCCATCACTCTGCTAAACAACTAATTCCCACAATACTGTCAAATAATTTACTAAGACTGTATTATTATTATTATTATTCTCATCTTTCCAATGACCTATCTCCTTATCTTATGACTATAATTTTGTTGCTTGTATCTTATGATTTATATTGTTTTATTTAGTATCCTATGATTTATGTTGACTGCTTATTTAGTATCCTATGATTATCACTGTTATATCTTATGATTTGTATTGTTTTATTCAGTATCCTCGTATGATTTACGTTGACTGCTTATTTAATATCCTATGATTATCACTAAGTGTTGTATCTTATGATTTATGATGAATATATTTTTACGATGACTATGATCATGATCTATGACTGCAGAAAAAACAATTGCTACCAACCTGCCTTCCACTGAGGACCTGTATACTGCACGAGTCAAAAAGAGGGCTGTGAAAATATCTACAGACCCCTCGCATCCTGGACATAAACTGTTTCAACTCCTACCCTCAAAACGACGCTATAGAGCACTGCACACCAGAACAACTAGACACATGAACAGCTTTTTCCCCAAACGCCATCACTCTGGTAAACAAATAATTCCCTCAACACTTTCAAACTATTCACTAAGTCTGCATTACTATTAATCTTCTCATTGTTCCTATCACCCATCTCCTCCCACTTATGACTGTACGACTGTAACCTTGTTGCTGGTATCCCTACGATTTATATTGTTTCCTAGTAGGATTCAATTGCTTATTTGTACCCTACGACTGTCATTAAGTGTTGAACCTTATGATTCTTAACGAATGTATCTTGTCTTTTTATGTACACTGAGACCATATGCACCAAGACAAACTCCTTGTGTGTCCAATCACACTTGGCCAATACAAAATTCTGTTCTGTTCTGTTCCGTTCCGTTCCGTTCCGTTCCGTTCCGTTCCGTTCCGTTCCGTATTCCATTCCATTCCATTCCATTCCATATTCTGTTCTGTTCTGTTCTGTTCTGTTCTGTTCTGTTCTGTTCTGTTCTATTCTATTCTATTCTATTCTATTCTATTCTATTCTATCCTATCCTATCCTATCCTATCCTATCCTATCCTATCCTATCCTATTCTATTCTATTCTATTCTATTGCGGTATATAAAGCGATACACACTTTGGGGTGAACAGAGATGCATTTTCAGATAATTGAAATTTTAATTCTACGGGAAATAACCATACTGGAAATTCGATCACCCTGATCGAATCGCTAACAATAGAAGTCACCGTGGATAGCGTTTTATTGGCGTTTTGCTTTGCAATCCTGCCGGTTTTATTATCATTTGATATCACTGAACTCCCGGGCTAATATCTTAGCCAGCATCTCCACCTTCTGGCTGAGATGAAAATATGAAGCGGTCCTTAGAAAATGAAAATAATCTCTTCTACCATCAGGCAAGTTGTTCCACTTATTAATTGTTCTAACTGTTCTAACTTAGTTCTAAATTGTTTCTCTCCTTGATTAGTTTCCACCCATTGCTTCTTGTTCTACCCTCAGGTGCTTTGGAGAATAGCTTGACTCCCTCTTCTTTGGGGCAGCCCCTGAGATATTGGAACACTGCTATCATGTCTCCCCTAGTCCTCCTCTTCATTAAACCAGACATACCCAGTTTCTGCAATCGTTCTTCATGTGTTTTAGCCTCCAGTCCCCTCATCATCTTTGTTGCTCTTCTCTGCACTCTTTCTAGAGTCTCAAACTTCTTTTTTACATCGTGGCGACCAAAACTGGATGCCATATTCCAAGTGTGGCCTGACCAAGGCCTTATAAAGTGGTATTAACACTTCACGTGATCTTGATTCTATCCCTCTGTTGATGCCGCCCAGAACTGTGTTGGCTTTTTTGGCAGCTGCCGTGTTGGTTTTTTTGGCAGCAGCTGCCCAATTTTGGGGTTGGGTGAAAGGCCTTGTGAAGAGACCAACGAAAGAATTGAAACATTATAGACCTCTAGATGTTGATGTGCTCCTTCCTTCTCTTCTGGAGGCTTCTGCCCAGCCTGGTTGACCAGGGATGGTGCTTAACCTCAGCAGCCCGTGACAGTCGGATCCAAGCCTGACCTCTTGGTGATGTGCAACTTAGTCACTTCTTCGGCACAGGTGGGGTGAATCCCAACTGTCTGCATCATTTGAGAATAAGTAGCACCGCATCTGCAGAAGACAAGTGGAGAACAAAAGAGGAGAAGAAAATGAAGAGGGAAAAAAGGAATCTTTATGTGTTATCTTTTTACATCGTGGCGGCCAAAACTGGATGCAGTACTCCAAGTGTGTCCTTACCAAGGCATTATAAAGTGGTATTAACACTTCAGGTGATCTTGATTCTATCCCTCTGTTGATGCAGCTTAGAACTGTGTTGGCTTTTTTGGCAGCTGCTGCACACGGCTGGCTCATATTTAAGTGATTGTCCACTAGGACTCCAAGATCCCTCTCACAGTTACTACTATTGAGTGAGGTACCACATATACTGTACCTGTGCATTTTGTTTTGCTTGCCTAAATGTAGAACTGTACTTTTTTCACCATTGAATTTCATTTTGTTAGATAGTTTTTTTTTTTTTTTTAATTTGATTTATATGCCGCCTTCTCCGGAGACTCAGGGCGGCTTACAATGCACTAAGCAATAGCCTTCATCCTTTTTGTATATTTATACAAAGTCAGCTTATTGCCCCCACAAACTGGGTCCTCAATTTACCTACCTTAGGATGGAAGGCTAAGTCAACCTTGAGCCTGGCGAGATTTGAACCTGCAGTAATTGCAGGCAGCTGGTCTTAATAGCAGGGTGCCTTAGACCACTGTTAGTGACCAATGTTCAAGTCTATCAAGATCCTTCTGTATCCTGAGCCTATCTTCTGGAGTGTTGGCTATTCCTGGCAACTTGGTGTCATCTGCAAATTTGATGAGTTCCCCATCTATCCCCTCGTCCAAGTCATTGATGAAGATGTTGAAGAGCACAGGGCCTAAAACAGAGCCTTGGGGTACCCCACTGCATACTTCCCTCCATGTAGATGCAGTTCCGTTGAGGACTACACGTTGAGTGTGGATGGTCAGCCACTTACAAATCCATCTGGTGGTGATGCTGTCTAACCCACATTTTTCTACTTTATCTAGTAGTAGGTTATGGTCTACTTTATCAAATGCCTTACTGAAGTCCAAGCAAATTATATCGACAGCATTCCTCTGGTCCACTAATTTTGTCACTTTGTCAAAGAATGCAATAAGATTAGTCTGGCACGATCTGTTTTTGACAAACCCGTGTTGGCTTTTGGTTATTATTTGGTTTGTTCCTAGGTGTTCACTGATTCGTTGCTTGAGTTCTGGGTACGATCTCTCTTTGATAACTTTCCATCTGTTACTTCTTTTCTTGTCCTCAGGTGCTTTGGAGAATAGGCCAACCCAGGGGTGAAATGCTCCCGGTTCAGACCGGATCGCCCGATCCAGTAGCGATGGAAGCGGGTGGTTCGGAGAACTGGTAGCAAAAATCCCTGCCCCCCCCCCCTCGCCATGCCGAGCTGAGCCACGCAATCATCAGAGGCTTGTTTTTTTTGAATTTTTAAAAGCATTTTTTCTACAACCTCTTCAGAGGTTGTAGAAAAAATGTTTTTAAAAGCCTCTGAGGATCCAAGCTGAGTTGCCTTATCGGCAGAGGCTTTTTTTCTTTTAAAAGCCTCTGCCGATCCAAGCTGAGTTGCCTGATCGGCAGAGGCTTTTTTTCTTTTAAAAGCCTCTGCCGATCCAAGCTGAGTTGCCTGATCGGCAGAGGCTTTTTTTCTTTTAAAAGCCTCTGCCGATCCAAGCTAAAAGAAAAACAGCCTCTGCCTATCAGGCAACTCAGCTGGGATCATCAGAGCCTTTTGAAAACATTTTTTAACAACCACTTCGCCGAAGAGGTTGTAGAAAAAATGCTTTTAAAAGTAAAAAAAAAAAAAAAAGCCACGTCCACAGAATTGGTAGTAAAAAATTTTAGAACCCACTCCTGAACCAGATGTAAAATTAGCATCTGGTTTACCTGAATCTGTCTGAACCGGCTGAATCCCATCTTAAGGTCTATTCTGGCTAAACACCAGAGGTTAGCGTTGGCAATAAAAAAAGGAAGGCCTGCAGAAACACACCCGAATACACAAACCTACACCCACAGAGCAAAAATAAATTGTATTCTATCCAATCTGAAGTTTTCAAGTAACTTGATACAGTCTTTTGGGCAGGACTGGGAGACCATGGACCAAAAATAAAAAATAAAATAAAAAATAGGGAAACATCTGAAGAGCGGAGAAAAAAATCCTTGAAATTTCTCCCCCCCTCTCCAAAGCTCTAATGATTCCCTCTTTGTCAAAGAGAGAAACGTAATCAAAACAAGGTTTTAGTCCTCTCTCTTTTAAAGAAAAGCTTTTGAACAATCGTTAATTATCCCGAGAATAGGAAAGAAGAAGAAGAAGAAAAAGAAAAAGCACCAGGAAACCCCTTTCCCCTTTGTTGAAGAGTCAGCAACAGCTGGACTGCAAAGCTAATTTTTCATTATTATTATTATTATTTTTGCAGAAGAAGGAAGGGATCAAAAAAGACAGAGCCAAGGAATCTATTTCGTCAACATAAAAACCAAAAGCCGATATGTCCCTTCCTAAGCTGCGCTTTCATTAATAAAGGATGCCTGTATTTGTCATCAAACTAGAGGAAATAAAGAACATAAAAGAATCCCCAAACACTGGATATTATTTTAGTCCGACTAAAATGGCAATCACTATCTTTTTTTATTATTATCTTGGAGAGACTTAAAAGAGCAGGTTTAAGAAACAAGGCAGACGGGGAAGGGGGAGGCTAAGGTGTGTGTGTGGGGGGGGGGCTAGGGAGAGGCTAGGGTATGGGGCTGACATGCTTTAAACTTACTTGATTCCAAGAGCGAAGCCTTGGATCACTTCGCCAGCATTTGGGCCAATGAAATGAAGGCCCAGGATTCGCTGGTCTTTTTCACGCAGGCACACCATCTGCAAAGAATTCACGAAGAACAGGGAGTTGGTAACTAGCCAGGATTAGAGAGAATTAGTAGAGTAGAGTAGAGTGAAACAGAAACAGAAACAGAGCAGAGCAGAGCAGAGCAGAGTAGAGTAGAGTAGAACAGAAACAGAATAGAATAGAAACACTAGACGAGACAAGATAAGGCAAGAAGGGAAGGGAAGGGAAGGGAAGAAACGAAAAGAAAAAAAGAGAAGGGAAGGGTAGAGAAGAGAAGAGAAGAAAAAAGAGAAAGGAAGGGAAAGGAAAGGAAGGGAAGAGAAGAGAAGGGAAGAGAAGGGAAGGGAAGAAAAAAAGGGAAGCGAAGCAAAGCGAAGCGAACGGAAGGGAAGGGAAGGGAAGAGAAGGGAAGGGAAGGGAAGGGAAGAAAAAAAGGGAAGGGAAGCGAAGCGAAGCGAACGGAAGGGAAGGGAAAGGAAGGGAAGGGAAGGGAAGAGAAGAGAAGAGAAGAGAAGAGAAGGGAAGGGAAGGGAAGGGAAGGGAAGGGAAGAGAAAAGAAAAGAATATTTTTCTCCTTTGAGGAGGAAGGAAGATGGAAGCGTCACCATGAGTCACCATGCGTGAGTAGGCAGCAATATAAATTTTCTAAATAAATTAAATAAATAAAAAAAAGAAAAAGGTGTTTTATGTTTTTTTTAAAAAAAAAAACCTTGTACGTGTGACATCCCCAGGGTTTCTGATAGAGATTGTAAGCTCCTTGAACTGAAGGAAACATTACGAAGGCCAACTTACTTTTATGTAACACTGAGTAGCATCTCTTTCGGCCACAACAAATTCCAAGGGTTTATAAAAGGCGTGGTATACCTGAAAAGAGTTTGTTATTCCATCACAAAGGCTAAAAATACTTGCACTGAGATTGGGAATAATAACAGAAATTTGCAAGTCTGAATTGCGCTTGCTGTCTCTCAATCTCTGTCTGTCTGTCTCTCTCAGTTTTCTGTCTCTCAATCTCTCTCTCTCTCTTTTCTCTCCCTCAGTCTCTCTCTCTGCTTCTGTCAATCTCTGCTTCAATCTCTCTCTGTCTCTTTCTACTTTATCCCACCAGTAGAACTCTATAGAAATACTAGCTGATAACCCGCCGTTGCCCAGGTATTTATTTATCCCAATCTCCCTTATCAGAGGGAACCCCCTTGTGGAGTACTGTGAAGCCGTTACCATGGCAACTCCACTGTGCTGTACGGTAGAAGCCATTTTAAGGAACAACAGGCTGTATCTTAAGAGAACTTGAATCCAAAATGCACACTATCACTGTCAAAAGTACTGTGAATTGACACTATACATATAATTCATTTCTTTTCATTTCAGTGCCCCAGGCATTCCAGAGTTATGCTGGAACACACACACACAGACACACACACCCTGAGGGGTATTAGGGGTGTCTTACCCCCACAGTATTTTTTTCCAGATAGTAAGTCATCTGTGTACCAAATTTGGTTGAAATTGTTCCAGGCGTTCCAGAGTTATGCTGGAACATACATACAAACACCCCCACCCCCAGGGATGCTAGGGGTGTCTTACCCCCACAGTATTTTTTTCCAGATAGTAAGTCATCTGTGTACCAAATTTGGTTGAAATTGTTCCAGGCGTTCCAGAGTTATGCTGGAACATACATACAAACACCCCCCACCCCAGGGATGCTAGGGGTGTCTTACCCCCACAGTATTTTTCTCCAGATAGTAAGTCATCTGTGTACCAAATTTGGTTGAAATTGTTCCAGGCGTTCCAGAGTTATGCTGGAACATATACACGCGCACATACACACGCAGCCATTTTTATGTATATAGAAGATTTTGCCTGCCATAAGGCCACTCTCAAAGTGCCTACCACCCTTTCCTGGATCTTACCTAACCAGCTTCTAAAAATTTGGTTCACCCCCCAAAGGCTAAATAGCATAAAGTAGAAAATATACCACCTACCTCGATGTTATCTGGACCATATCGGTGGACAGCAATTTCTTCTGAGATGCCAACGCTACCATATTCTAGAGGGGTGAACACTGTTGTAGGCACCTACAGGTGGAAGGTGAAGCCACACCATCAGTCATTAAGACATAGAGGTTGGGTCTTTTCAGCAACATGAGCCTGCAGGATCTACTATTTCCAGATACTAGTAATCCTCAAATTTCGACCACAATTGAGTCCAAAACTTTCCATTGCTAAACAAGACTGTTGAGAAGAGAATTTTGTCCCATTTCACAACCATTCTTGCCTCTGTCGTTAAGCGAATCACTGCTGCTGTTAAGTTGGTAACACGGTTGTTAAGTGAATCTGGCTTCCCCCTTGACTTTGCTTGTCAGAAGGTCACATGACAACCCCCCCCGGGGGACCCTGCAACCGTCATAAATATGAATCAGTTTGCCAAGTATCTGAATATTGATCGTGTGGCCCATGGGGAGGTTGCAACGGTCGTAAATATGAAAAATGGTCATAAGTCACTTTTTTCAGTGCCGTTGTAACTTTTTTTTTTAATTAAGTTTTTTATTTTTTACAAACATATCAAATCAATGCGTGAACTGTGTGGCACCTGAACGTCATACATTCTAATACAAATAAAACTAGTAAAACTAATCATAGTTATTAAATTCAACCAACTTTTATGTTTTTAATCATAATACACAATTATAATAAACTGCAATCTGTCGTTACTCAATGATTCCATATTTTCTCTTATTGTTACTTTTGCTTTATTATATAAAAGTGTATACACTAACATTTCCCTTTCTCTCATTTCTATCACTTATTCTAGCTTTCAATCCTATCACCTTTTACTAAAAACCATTTTCTTTCTATCCTACCTAACTTCTAGTCAAAAAAAAAAAAAGAAACTAAAGAGAGAGAAACGGAAAAGCAAATCAAAACAACAACAAGTGCAGGGGTGAATTCTACTTACCTTTACTACCGGTTTACATCGGAAGCGCACGTGCGCATATCACCTATGATGATGTCCGGGTTGGTGGGCGGAGCCTCCCGCCAGTTTTACTACCAGTTCTTGCGAACCGGTCTGAACTGGGGGCAACCCACCACTGAACAAGTAACTTTGAATGGTCACTAAACTGTTGTGGCCTGGTGGCAGCCAGTGGATCTGGCAGTAGAGTCGGACAGTAAGGAGGTTGGGGAGGAACGTGGGCCAGACATGGTGGCTGAGGAAAGCTCGGACGAGGGCTCTGCGTTGGAGGCAGAGAGGGAGTTAGACAGCAGTGAGGCAGAGGAACAGCTGGAGCCCGTTCCCATTGTGCGCGTGCGCAGAGGTGCCAGAAGGCAAGAACAACTCGGAAAGCAGGGTCGACTTGGGAGTAAAGCCACACCTTGGAGGGGATTGGCCCCTCCCCTAGGAAACAAAAGAGGAGCGAATGGGGAGAGGTCTTTTGCAGGAAACAATTCGTTCGTTCGGTCGTTTCAAGAGTGGAAAGTTCTGTTTGTGACTCTAAGAGAATCTGTGCCACGTTTTGCCTTACACTGTGTTTGGAAACTAGTTATGTGGCAGAGGGGTGGGTTTTATTTATTTATGTATGTATGTATGTATGTATGTATGTATGTATGTATGTATGTATTAGATTTTTATACCGCTCCCTCTCCCGAAGGACTCGGGGCGGTGAACAGCCAAAATTAAAAACATACAATATAAACATTAAAATACGTTTAAAACAGAATTAAATCCAAAATGGCTCCCCAATTTAAAACGCCTTACCCATGACCCTATAAATAAGACAAATTTAAAATTTCCACATTTAAAATTTCCACATTTAAAAAGGGGGAAGATTTAGGCCAGGCCAGCCAATTTACCTTTACTACCGGTTTGCAACGATAGTAAACAATGACATCCGGGCAGAGCCTCCCGCCACTTTTACTACTGGTTCACAAGAACCGGACAAAACCGGGAGCAACCTACCACTGATGTGGCAACTTGCCAAGCGAGATAAGGTCTGTGTTGATAAATATTCCCTTGAAAAACTGTTTGGACAGGCCTTGCTGACTGCGAATGAAAGTAATTCACAGTCGTGTAAATAAAAGAGGTTTTGCCGGGACCAAGACTCTGCTTCCTGCTTTTTAAGGGAGCCTAGGTCAGAACATAAATGAACTGTTTTAAGTCAAGGACTACTTAGGGATCCTTTTTAATAATAATAACAAATTATTTTCACCCCCAAAATGAAGGGAACGCTTCATGCCCACCAGAGCCGCCATTTTGTCAACAAAACCAAACCCTACTCACATTGTCGTAATCCATGAGTTCGGAAGAGAGGCCGAACAACCGCCGAGCCAACAACTTTCCTGAAGCGATTGCGGTGGGCGTTAGTTCAGGGCGGCCCTTTAAAAGGAATGAGAACATTAGAAGATACATTTTACAAGATTTCTTTAAAGAAGCAGCGAGGACGAATCAACGTCCCAAGGTTTCCCCAACCGTTTTGGTTAACTATTTGTCATTTTAGGACTTCCCTTTTCTAAATTCATTTCCCAGGGTCAATTCTTTTTTTTTTTTTTTTTTTTAAATCTAGGTAATCGATCCTAGGTAGAGACAGATATTTCTGGGCATACTCGGAATATATCCACTGAACAGAACTCCGCACTGGCAACAGGAAGGGGATCCGGCCATGAAAACACTCTGCTAGCTCCATTCAGTTGCCCGCACTCCACCTTGCAAGGGATTATGGGGTCGTTAAAAGATGATCCTTTTTTTAAAAAAAAAAAAAACCCATGACCCTACAGAGGAAAGGCAAAAAGGATGTCCCTCACTCTGACAATGGCCTTAGGCAAATATTGCAATATGGGACCATTAGGCCAATCCACGTCGTATGTCAGCAACGATCTGATATGCCTTGTTGTTATGATCTCTCAAACGTCACTCCTGTCTGTGGAATAAATAGGTTTTTAATAGAAGAGAAGATTAATGAGAAGATTAAAAGAGGAAGATCTCTTTTAATAGAAGAGAAGGGTTGGACTGTGGGGTCCTTGGTGCTCTCTCTCTTGAAGGAAAATTTCCTGGGACATTCGAAGTGTTTATACCTCAGTGATGTCCCCAATTGCACAAATATGGCGGGGTTGAAGTGACTTCTGCTGGATCGACAAGGATTTTCCCCGTTTCAGGATTGATTTTCACACCCACACGATCCAGTTTAAGGGCTGCAGTGTCTGGAGCTCGGCCTTTAGGGAAGCAGAAAGGAGAGGAAAGGAAAAGAGGAAGGGGACAGGAGAGGAGGAGGAGGGAAAGAGGAGGAGAAGAAGCAGGAGGAAGAGGAGGAGGAGGAGGTGGAAGTGGGGGAGGAAGAGTTAAAGGAGGAGGAGGAGAAGCCGGAGGAAGAAGAAGAAGAGGAAGAGGAGTAGAAAGAGAAGGCAGAGGAGGAGGAGTAGAAGGAGAAGCAGAAAGATGAGTAGAAGGAGAAGGCAGAGAAGGCAGAGAGTAGCAGTAGAAGAAGGAGTTGAAGGAGGAAAAGCAGGAAGAAGAGCAGAAGGAGAAAGAAGAGAAGGAGGAGGAGGAGTAGAAGGAAAAGCAGGAAGAGGAGTAGAAGGAGAAGGAAGAGGAGAAAGAGGAAAAGGAGGAGGAGGAGAAGCAGGAGGAGTTAAAAGGAGGAGGAGAAGCAGGAGGAGGAAGAAGAAGAGGAAGAGTAGAAAGAGAAGGCAGAGGAGTAGGAGGAGTAGAAGAAGGGAAAAGCAGGAAGAGGAGTAGAAGGAGAAGGAAGAGGAGAAAGAGGAAAAGGAGGAGGAGGAGAAGCAGGAGGAGTTAAAAAGGAGGAGGAGAAGCAGGAGGAAGAAAAAGAGGAAGAGTAGAAAGAGAAGGCAGAGAAGGAGGAGGAGTAGAAGAAGGAAAAGCAGGAAGAGGAGTAGAAGAAGGAAGAGGAGAAAGAGGAAAAGGAGGAGATGGAGGAGAACCAGGAAGAGGAGGAGGAGTTAAAGGAGAAGGAGGAAGAGGAAGAGGAAAGGAGAAGGCAGAGGAGGAGGAAGAAGAGGAGGAGGAGAAGGGGAAGGAGAGAGACAGAGAGAGATAGAAATATGGTTAAACCCCAACAGCAATCGGATAAATTAGCAAGGCTGCAAATTTTACACACTTACTTACTTGTTACAACCAGAACTACCACGAGAAAAGAAGGAAACGGAATAACTTGCAAAGTAACGGCGATACCATCACTACCAATGGCTCTATAGATTGTTATTTCTAATTTTACAATAATATCGCCATTTAAGACGTTTATTTATCTAAGACATTTATACGGCCGCCCAAGTCCATTGTGACTCTGGGCAGCATTGAAAATCCATTAATCAAAACTCCAAAAGAAAAACAACACATCCCTTTAAAACTAACACAATTAAACTGGAGATGGAGTCATCCATTAAAATCGATTGCATCCCATCAATCTGGAACTCAACTTAACTTGACCTACGTACCAGCAAAGTCAAGGCTAACTGAAAACATGATATACACTACCCTGGGTTATACAGAATAGAGGCAGGACATAAATCTCACAACAATAATATTAGTTGTATATTTGTGTGTGTGTGTGTGGGAGAGACAATCTCATAGAACGCCACTGCCAGTTACTTGTGGAACAATGACCAAAATCAGGAGATTGATTGGTTATATTGGACAAAAATAAAGACACGGTTGGAAAATATGACAAAACAACGCATTGAGCTAAAACCAGAAATATTTTTGCTGGGGATTCTACCCGAAAGTTATAACAAAGAGAATACTTATTTAATTATCCATGTTTAAACTGCAGCTAGAATTGTGTTTGCACAACATTGGAAAAGTGAAGAGATTCTTATTGAGGAGAAGAGGATTAGGAAAACATTAGAATGTGGAGAAATGAACAGACTAACATTAGCAATTAAGGAGAAAGAACAAACTGAATATTATATGATACGGGAAGTATTCTATCGATGGTTAGAGAGTAAAAAGGGAAACGGGAAATAAAAGGAGAAGATTAAAGAAGAATAGAAAATATGTTAAGATAGAGGTATAAATAAGATAATTGTTAGTATCATGATGAGGATAATTATGCGTAATGTTATTATTATTGTATTTTTACTAGAAGACATGTTAAAAGGAAAAATGAACAGGCTTATAATGCTTAATTGTTTAATGTACTATAATAATTTTAAGATTAGAGAATTAATATTGATGTGAATGATGTTGTAAATGTTGAAGGTTGGTGCACAGAGATATTTGAACGCAGATGACACACTGTTTAAGGAAAGATTTGAAAAATAAAAAAATATAAAACTTTATATATATATATGTTTTTCTTTTAGCCAGGTTTTTCCTACGTAACCAAGATTTTTCTGCAGCCCTATATCTATCTATCTATCTATCTATCTATCTATCTATCTATCTATCTATCTATCTATCTGTAAAAGATTGATTGGTTGATTGAAATCTATTAGCCAGGATTGCTTTGCTCCAATCTTACAATTTTTTTGTGGGGGGAATCTAGGATGTCAATGCAAGAAACTATTAAGCCGGGTGGGGTGGGGGAGGCCAAGGATTGTATGATTGATAAACAAACAACACAGCCGGAGAGCACATCTGTCAAAAAACCCAGCATCTACACAGCCACACAGCCACACACCAAGAGCCAAACTCCAAAAGAAAACAACAGTGTCCCATCTGAATGGCTGGCCGGAGACCTTTGTGGGTTCATTTCAGGCGGAGAACGGATATTTCCTTTGGAAGCACTGATGGGTCCTTTCGGCACTCGGTTATCTGCCTGTCCTTTCTCACAAAGGATGCTCTTCTTTTCTTTGTCCTCGATGCTATCAGCCACCAAAATAATCACAAAGCTTATCTCAGCTCGGATGTGAAACAACTTCCTACCACAGTTCGGGCGGGGGGTGGGTGGGTTTGGGTCTGCGAAGAAGATAGCCAACGGGCAGCTAAGAGGATGAGGGGGATTTTTGAGTTTCCCATTTAGAATAGAATAGAATGGTATGGTAAGGAATGGAACAGAAAATAGAGTAGAGTAGAGTAGAGTAGAGTAGAGTAGAGTAGAGTAGAGTAGAGTAGAGTAGAGTAGAATAGAATAGAATAGAATAGAATAGAATAGAATAGAATAGAATAGAATAGAATAACAGAGTTGGAAGGGACCTTGGAGGTCTTCTAGTCCAACCCCCTGCTCAGGCAGGAAACCCTACAACACTTCAGACCAATGGTTATCCAACATCTTCTTAAAAACTTCCAGTGTTGGAGCATTCACAACTTCTGGAGGCAAGTTGTTCCACTGATTAATTATTCTAACAGTCAGGAAATTTCTTCTTAGTTCTAAATTGCTTCTCTCCTTGATGAGTTTCCACCCATTGCTTCTTGCCCTGCCTTCAGGTGCTTTGGAGAATAGCTTGACTCCCTCTTCTTTGGGGCTGCCCCTGAGAAGTTTTAAATAGTTCGGAAGAACTGCTATCATGTCTCCCCTAGTCCTTCTTTTCATTAAACTAGATGTACTCAGTTCCTGCAAGTGTTCTTTATATGTTTTAGCCTCCAGTCCCCTAATCCTCTTTGTTGCTCTTCTCTGCACTCTTTCTAGAGTCTCCACATCTTTCTTACATCGTGGCGACCAAAACTGGATGCAGCATTCCAAATGTGGCCTTACCAAGGCATGAAATGTTGGGGGCAGGAGGTTGACTTTGTAAACCGCTTAGAAAGGGCTGTAAAGCACTGTAAAGTGGTATATAAGTCTAAGTGCTATTGCTATTGCTATTTATTGCTAATGCTATTGCCTTCCTTCCTTCCTTCCTTCCTTCCTTCCTTCCTTCCTTCCTTCCTTCCTTCCTTCCTTCCTTGTGGTTAGAATGCAGTATTTCAGGCTAATTCTGCCCACTGCCAGCAGTTTGATCCTGACCGGCTCAAGGTTGACTCCGCCTTCCATCCTTCCGCAGTGGGTAAAAAGAGGACCCAGATTGTTGGGAGCAACAGGCTGACTCTGTAAACCGCTTAGAGAGGGCTGGAAAGGCACTGTGAAGCAGTATATAAGTCTAAGGGCTATCGCTATTGCTAAGTGTTTGCCAAGAGTTAACGCCAACTTGGTAGAACGTGATCAATCATTCAATGATTCAATCAATCAGCCCGACACCTCCATGCCTGCTCTTCAGATCTGCTCAGGGTCGTAAGCTCCTTGAAAACAAGCCCTTCTCTTCAAATGCCACAAAGCATGAAGCTTATCAGCCTGGTAGCATTGCGTAAACTCTACAGAAGGAGACTCCAAACCTCGATTTACGGAGCCCAGTTTCAACTCCCGAGGTTTGTTGTCGAAGTGGCTTAAGGAGGCTCAGCAGGGAGTCCTATCTCCACCACTCTCAGCAAGCTGTCCCTTTTCACTCAAGGTTTGTGACGGACACATCTGGAGGCAGGAAATGCTTTCCCAGTTTCCCCGGTCTGTTAGCGCAAGACACCTGGCAGTTGATGTGTGGAGAGAGAATTAAAACACCAAGACAAACAAAACCAAGAGGGAATCCCACATCAATTAGGCGGCTTTAGCCCTTAACCGACATAATCCTTAAGTCCCTTGGGGGTGGAGTGCTTAGACTTTAGCTCTGGATTTGAAGCAAGCAGGGATGGGAAGCTGGTTTGCTTAATGCCCCCCCCCCCCCCGACGTCTGGAATGAAAAACTCCTTGCTAATGAGCAAAAAATAAAAAAAGAGTTTCTGGTGGAATCTGAAAACATTGGTTGTGTTTGCATTCCAGGGTAAGCTAGGGCTCCTGCAGACTGTAGCCTCGCAGGGAATGAGTAAGTAAGCTGACACGTATCTCCCAAGCTATAACATCTGGTGGGGGAAGCTAGAAGAGAATCAAGGCAAGGCAATGATTTGGGGAGGGCAGCTAGGAATGGAATGGAATGGAATGGAATGGAATGGAATGGAATGGAATGGAATAGAATAGAATAGAATAGAATAGAATAGAATAGAATAGAATAGATGGAATAGAATAGAATAGAATAGAATAGAATAGAATAGAAGTAGAGTAGAGTAGAGTAGAGTAGAGTAGAGTAGAGTAGAGTAGGTAGAGTAGAATAGAATAGAATAGAATAGAATAGAATAGAATAGAATAAAATAGAATAGAATAGAATAGAATAGAATAGAATAGAATAGAATAGAATAGAATTCTTTATTGGCCAAGTTGGGAAGCCAAATTGGATTTAATTATTTTTAAAATTATTTTAATATTCATACTGTATATATTTTAACCTTGGCTGTTCACTGCCCTGAGTCCTTTGGGAGAAGGGTGGTATAAAAATTTAATAACTAAAATAAATAAATAAATAAATAAATAAATAAATAAATAAATAAATAAATAAATAAGCAAGCAAGTGTGATTGGACACACAAGGAATTTGTCTTAGGAGCATAAGCTCTCAGTGTACATAAGGAGAATAAAATACGTTCATCAAAAATAAAAAGATACAACACTTAGTGATAGTCAAGGTTACTAATAAGCTATCAAATCATACTAGGAAACTAGTAAAAACAATATAATGCAGGGTGGATAAAAACCAATGATTTTTTTAAAGAAATCAAAAATCCGGATTTTTTTATTTTTTATTTTTATCGAATTTATTTTAATAAAAAACTTTTGGGGTAAAAATCTATCGTATGATAGTTTTCTATTTAAGATACAGAAATAATTTAGTTTATTCAGTATGAAATGGAGCTTAGTTATGTAGCACAAGGCTGTATATTCTGCAACACTGGGACTATCGGTGAGTCAACAGGGGTCAAAGGAGTAGCAGAGATGACAGTTGCTCTTTCAAAATGATGATTTAAATGGAGTTGATTTAAATCAAGCCTTTTTACTAGTGATTTAAATCATGATTTAAACCATGATTTAAATCATTAGTAAAAAGGCTTGATTTAAATCAACTCGATTTAAATCAAATCCACCCTGATATAATGGAAAGATACAAGCGTCGTATCTTTGAACAGTCACTACACAAATAGCCGTAAGTTGAGAACTACCTGGGTGCGGCACCCAAGAGATCATTCATGCAAAAGCCCAATTCGGAAATTCAAGCTAGCAAGCGCTGACTTCACTGACCCAGAGCGAAGCGGTTTTTACAGGTAGGTTCTTACCTACGGCCCACATCACCGTATCGAACTCATCCGATTTTTCTTTGCCGGAGTCCACGTATTTCCACGTCACCCGCAGCCGGCCGTTGTCTAGCTTCTTGATTTTAGTTGGGCTGCATTTCTTTAGAAACCGGGTGCCGGATGCTTCCATGTGGCTCGTCACCAGATTAGCCATTTGCTAACAAGAGATAATGGTGACACGAGTATTAATCTGTGGAAAGCCTTCATGGCAAGGGGTATGTGTCTCTCTCTGTGGTTTATATATCATCATCATCTTTTAACGACCCCATCATCCCTTGCGGGAGCCTGGGCAACTGAATGGAGCTGAGTGTTTTACTGGCCGGATGCCTTTCCTGTTGCCAATGAGGAGTTTTGTTCAGATCTATTCTCATTATACCCAGCGTCTCTACCTAGGATCAAACTCACAGCCTCCTGACTGTGAGGCGAGAGCTCCACCTCTAGGCCACTCTTCTGTGGTTTATATATGCTACTTCTTAATACGGGTAGTCCTCGATTTACGACCAAAATGGAGCCCCAAAGCGAGACATTTCTTAAGTGAGCTTTGCCCCATTTTCTGCAGTTGTTAAACGAATCAGTGCCATTGTTAAGCTAGTCACCTGGTTCTTAAGTGAATCTGGCTTCCCCATGGGCTTCGCTTGACAGAAGGTCGCAAAAAGGGGATTGCAGGAACCCCCCCCCCCGGGGACACTGCAACCGTCATAAGTACAAGTCAGTTGCCAATTGTCTGAATTTTGATCATGCAACCCCATGGGGATGCTGCAATGCTTAGGCGTGTGAAAAACGGTCCTAAGTCACTTTTTTTCAGGGATGTCGTAACTTTGAATGGTCGCTAAAGGAACTGTCGTAAGTCGAGGACTATCTGTAGTGAATCAGCCCATGAGTCAGGTGATCCGATGACTTCTGCTCACACTGTGATGGCACTCCAGGAAAGGATCGACGAGGGGTCAAAAGCAGATTACAGGCAGTCCTCGAATTACAACCATGAGCCCCAAATTTCCATTGCTAAGCGAAACATTTCTTAAGTGAATTTTGCCCCCTTTAACGCCCTTCTTTGCCACAGCTGTTAAGTGAATCGATGCAGTTTTTAAGGTCGGCATTATGGTTGTTAAGTGAGTCGGGCTTCCCCTTTGACTTCGCTTGTCCGAAGGCCGCAAAAGGGGATCATGTGACACCCATCCCCCCCCCGGGGGTCGCTGCAACCGTCGTAAGTATGAACCAGTTGCCAGGCGTCTGAAATTCGATCGCGGGGAAGCTGCGACGGTCGTAAAGAGTGGGAAACGGCCTTAAGTCCCTTTTTTACCCAATGCCGTTGTAATTTTCAGCGGTCACTAAATGAACTGTTGTAAGTCGAGGACTACCTGTAGAAGCGGGAGAAGCTACCTGGTCAAATCCTCGAAGCGGGATGCTCCTGATCATCACGGTAGCGTCCAATCCGAGGCCGGTGAGAAAGCCGGCGCACTCGAGGGAAACATCTAGCGAGCGTCCGGATCAAGGAAAAATAATTCCGCTCAATTTTCAAAATTTCCGTTATCGGTTCTCTGAACCGCTCAAAATTTCCGCTACCAGTTCTCCAGAACCTGTTGGATTTCACCCCTGCTTTAAATTTATGTGGCTGGTGGTCCAACCGCACAATCAACACAAATATACAATCCGGCTGTGTCATATTTTAAAAGGTATGATAGCCTGATGGAATTGCAAATGGAGATGTGTCTTCGAACCACTGAATAAATCTCTTGTGGTGCTCTGCTTAACGACAATTTCGACGTGCAGGAAACGGCACAAGCCGTCTAAGTGGCAGGAGGCCACCACAACATCACAATCATGCAGCTTAGTTTAAAAGATACAGCTGGCGCCCACAACCAACCTGTTGAAGGAACAGAGAGAGAGAGAGAGAGAGAGAGAGGAAAAAAAAGAAAGAAATTGAAAATCAAATTAAATTGGCGCCTACGGTCCAGAATTGAAACAATTGGCTGCTTCTTCTTCGAACAGTTTTTATTAAATTTCAGAAAGGGATCAAAGCCCAGGTAGTCCTCGACTTATGACCGTCCTTGAGCCCAAAATTTCCAATGCTAAGTAAGACAGTTGCTAAGTGAAGTCTAACTTCAGCTCTACTATGAGGCCCAGCAAAAAATCAGAAAGTCACACTTAGAACGATTAATCAGTGGAACGACTTGCCTCCAAGAAGGGTGCTCCATCACTGGAGGTTTTCAAAAATAGACCGGATAGCTATTTGATTGGATGGTATAAGCTCGCCTGCCTTGAGCAAGGGGTTGGACTAGATGACCTCTTGAGGCCCCTTCCAGCCCTATGATTCTATGTTCTACCTTAGCTTGCCTGCCTTGGAAACCAGGATCATCTTAGCTCTCCAGTATCACCTCAAGCTATTTCCAAAAGCACCCGAAGGCCAGACAAGGAATAATGGATGGAAACTGAACAAGGAGAGATTCAACCTGGAAATAAGGAGACATTTTCTGACATTGAGAACAATCAACCGATGGCACAGAAGTTGCCTTCGGAAGTTGTGGGAGCTTCATCACTGGAGGCTTTCAAGAAGAGACTGGACTGTCATCTGTCAGAAATGGTGTAGGGTCTCCTGCTTGGCTGGGGGGGTTAGACTAGATGACCTACAAGGTCCCTCCCAACTCTGCTAATCTGTAAAACCTCAAAAGTTGTTCTCTTGAAGACACCGCTGGCATAAGCTCTCTTGCCTTGAGGTTGGACTAGAAGACCTCTTGAGGCCCCTATGATTGTATGTCCTTGAGGGCACGTGATCCATCCAAGCAGCAGGGGGAAAAAAAGTCCCCTCTGAAACCTATTTTAACAGATTATCAGAGTTGGAAGGGACCTTGCAGGTCATCTAGTCCAACCCGGAGACCCTACATTTGCCTCTACCTAGGACCGAACTCACAACCTCCTGATTGTGAGGCAAGAGCTCCGCCTCTAGGCCACCCGCAATCCACTCGGCAAACCAGAATTTCAGCAGCCAAACAGTTAAAAGAAAAAAAAAGGGGGGGGGGGGTAAATCACATCGGATGCTAGAACAACCCATTAAGAGCACATGCAAAGGCAGGCAGACCCCCCCCCAGATAAAAGGACCGTCCAGATCTGAAACCTTGGGGCAAGCTGAAGCCTGTCAAAATAAAGAAGAAGAAGAAGAAGAGCGAAAGAAAACGAGACAAATGCAGGAGAAAGAATTCCTTTTGCAAACAAAACATTAAAAAAAAAAAAAGACAGCAAAAAAAAAAAGTAAAAAAAACGGAGGTGAGGTTTGGATACAGTCCATCCCTGATCCTCCCCCATTGAATACGGATAATTTGCAAGCAGGATTCCAACCCCCATCCCCTTCCCAGAGATCTCCCCCACCCACCCACCCTTTGCCAAAAGAAAAAAAAAATGGAAAGAATGCGCCGTGCGCCGAAGTGACAGCGCCTCCAGAAGACAAACTTAAAACGCGGGTGGCCGAGCCGGGCGAGACAATGCCGATGTCACAGCTAATCCTTACAGGTACTAATAATGTCATTCCATTTCGGAGATGGAGGAGGAGGAGGAGGAGGAGGAGGCGAGCAACAATGTGCTTCTCGAGGGAGATCCTTTACAGAGGAAAGAATGTGCCTGCGGGGATTTTATCTGAAGCCATCCACGAGAAATGTTCGGCAGAACAATCGATCTTGGTACAGAGCTTGGAAGGGACCTTGGAGGTCTTCTAGTCCAACCCCCTGCCCAGGCAGGAAACCCTACACCACTTCAGACAAATGGTTATCCAACATCTTTTTAAAAGCTTCCAGTGTTGGAGCATTCACAACTTCTGGAGGCAAGTTGTTCCACCGATTAATTGTTCTAACTGTCAGGAAATTTCTCCTTATTTCTAAGTTGCTTCTCTCCTTGATTAGTTTCCATCCGTTGCTTCTTGTCCTGCCCTCAGGTGCTTTGGAGAATAGCTTGACTCCTTCTTTTTTGGGGCAGCCCCTGAGATACTGGAAGGCTGCTATCATGTCTCCCCTAGTCCTTCTCTTCATTAAATTAGACCTACCCAGTTCCTGCAACCGTTCTTCCTATGTTTTAGCCTCCAGTCCCCTAATCCTCTTGGTTGCTCTTCTCTGCACTCTTTCTAGAGTCTCCGCATCTTTTTCACATCGTGGCGACCAAAACTGGATGCTGTATTCCAAGTGTGGCCTCACCAAGGCCTTATAAAGTGGTATTAACACTTCAGGTGATCTTGATTCTGTCCCTCTGTTGATGCAGCCTAGAACTGTGTTGGCCTTTTTGGCAGCTGCTGCACACGGCTGGCTCTTATTTAACAGCACTGTTATTAACAGTGCTGTTATTAATATCAGCTGCCTGCAATTACTGCAAGTTCAAATCTCACCAGGCTCAAGGTCGACTTAGCCTTCCATCCTTTCTAAGGTAGGTAAAATGAGGACCCAGATTGTGGGGGCAATAAGCTGACTTTGTATAAAATATACAAAAGTATGAAGGCTATTGCTTAGCGCATTGTAAGCCGCCCTGAGTCTCCGGAGAAGGGCGGCATATAAATCAAATTAAAAAAAAAAATGATTATCCACTAGTACTCCAAGATCCCTCTCACCGTTACTACTATTGAGCGAGGTACCACGAGGTACCTGTGCATTCTAGAGAACGCTGAGAATGTTTTAATAAAATCTGTTTGTTTTTTTGGAACTGGGCCTGGGTCACAACACACCCTTCATACCACACAAAGCTTGGAGGAAGTCCCTCTCTTGCAAACTAGCCACTGATCAACCACACGCCAGGCCATTTGCAAGGCAACTATCCATACAGATTTAAAAAAAAAAACTAAACAAAAAAGGACTGAAAAGGGGAGGAGGGAAGACCCCCCCCCCTTGATGGAAGAGTTCCTAAATGCAGACTCCGAGCGTCTCTTTCTTGTCAAACTACAGCCTTACTACTGTACCCCTTCGGGCTTATTTTGACTAAAGCTGAAGAATGCAAAGCATAAATAAGAAGGAGCTTCTAGCATGACACTGTTACAACATGCAACAGAAGAAGATGGGGCTGGAGCCCATTTTCACAAGAATCTCTCAGCGGCGTAAAAACTGTTTGTTTAGCTCTTTTGCAAACAGACTTTAACAGGACGGGCAGCCTGATTTCTCTGGGATGCACTAGGGGCCTCTGAAGTATTTTCAGTTCAGAATACAGCTGGAAGGGACCTTGGAGGTCTTCTAGTCCAGCCCTGCTGCTTAAGCCGGAAACTCCATACCGTTTCAGACAAATGGCTGTCCAGTCATTCCAGGGATGAAGCACCTGCAACTTCTGGTGGCAAGCTGTTCCACTGGTTAATTGCCTTCGCGGTTAGGAAGTTTCTCCTCAGTTCCAGGTTGCTTCTCTCCTGTTCTTTGTCCTGCCCTCTGGTGCTTTGGAAAATAAATTGACCCCATCCTCTCTGTGTGGCAGCCCCTCAAATCCTGGAAGGCTGCTCTCATGTCATCCCTAGTCCTTTTTTTCTCTAGATTGGCCATACCTAGCTACTGCAACCGTTCTTCATATGTTTTCGTTTCCTGGCCTTTAATTGTCTTAGTTGCTCTTCTCTGCACTTTTTCCAAGAACTCAACATTGATTTTGTGACCCAAAACTCGATGCAGTATTCCAGGTATGGTCTTACTAAGGTTTTATAAAGCAGGAGAGGATTAGGAGGAGGAGGAGGAGGAGAGGAGGAGAAGGAGGAAGAGGAGGAGGAGGAGGAGAAAAAGGAGAAGGAGAAGGAGGAGGAGAAGGAGAAGGAGAAGAGGAGGAGGAGGAGAAGAAGAAGAGGAGGAGGAGAAGGAGAAGAAGAAGAGGAGGAGGAGGAGGAGGAGGAGGAGAAAAAGGAGAAGGAGAAGGAGAAGGAGAGAAGAAGGAAAAGGAGAAGGAGAAGGAGAAGGAGAGGAGAAGGAAAAGGAGGAGGAGAAGAATAAGAAGAGGAGGAGGAGGAGGAGAAGGAGAAGAAGAAGAGGAGGAGGAGGAGGAGAAGAAGAGGAGGAGGGGAGGAGGAGGAGGAGGAGGAGAGGAGGAGGAGAAGGAGGAAGAGGAGGAGGAGAAAAAGGAGAAGGAGAGGAGAAGGAAAAGGAGAAGGAGAAGAGGAGGAGGAGGAGAAGAAGAAGAAGAGGAGGAGGAGAAGGAGAAGAAGAGGAGGAGGAGGAGGAGGAGGAGGAAGAGGAGAAGGAGAAGGAGAGGAGGAGGAGGAGAAGAAGAGGAGGAGGAGGAGGAAGAGAAGAAGAGGATGAGTAACTAGGCACCAGCCCAACTAATAGAATATTTGTAGCTCAGAAGAGAATATTTGAAGAGAATATTTGTAGCTCAGGGTTGAACTGTGGGGTCCTTGGTGGCCTCTGTTTGACTGTTTTCTTGCAGATGTTTCATGATCCAATTAGGTAACATCATCAGTGCGAGAGGGAGTGGGGTTGGGGAAAGAGGAGGAGGAGGATAAGATGAAGAAGAAGAGGAGGAGGAGGAAGAGGAGAGGAAAACGACTGGGGAAAGGAATAAGGAAAGAAAGTAAATGGGAAGGGAAGGGAAGGGAAGCCCTATTCCTGCTTCGTGCATTTAACCCAGCCAGACTATATGGGATACAAAGCGTATTTTCCTCCATAATAGCAAAGATCTCACAGCAATGGAAGGAACATAATGGAAGGAACAAATTACGCTCTGTAACATGAATCGTTGTTGCCCTCTCGTGGTTCACGCAAGTGCAACAAACCTCACACAGCCAGAAAATTGGACACCGGTACATAACCACAGATTATTTGGATTCACATCACTGTCCCACCTGCAAATCACAGTCTTTCCTATCCAGAATTGGAACCTACGTTGCTGGCTCTATGGAAATTGTAAATCCAGTGGCGAAATTTAAAAAGCCAAAGGGAGAAAGTATATACCGTAGTTTATAGTTTACTTTATTGTCATTGCACCTCGTAGAACGAAATGAAATGCCATCTGCTGTGTACATTATAACTATAAAACACAAATACACATCCTTCACATTCTATACAATTGAATCGAAAACCCCTGATATTGCATTAATTTATTTTTTTTTAAATTTGATTTATATGCCGCCTTTCTCCGGAGACTCAGGGCGGCTTACAATGCGCTAAGCAATAGCCTTCATTCTTTTGTATATTTATACAAAGTCAGCTTATTGCCCCCACAAACTGGGTCCTCAATTTACCTACCTTAGAAAGGATGGAAGGCTGAGTCAACCTTGAGCCTTGGCGAGATTCGAACCTGCAGTAATTGCAGGCATCTGGTCTTAATACCCAGCTTAATAACAGGGTGCCTTAGACTGTACTACCAAGGCTCTATAATATTGCACTATACAGTAGAATTCAACATAGTTACTGCTCTGGGGTAGAAGCTGTTTTTCAGCCTATTTGGCCTTGTTTTTATTGCCCTGTACCGGCTGCCAGATGGTAATAGTTAAAAAAAAAAAAAAAAGAAGGGTGCCCAGGATGAGATGGATCTTTAAGAATGTTTTGAACTTTCTTAAGGCAGCGGGAAGCTATAAAGCTCTTCCAAGGAGAGGAGAGGTATATATTCAGAGGAAGAAGAGGCACACACACATGAAAATTAAGCTTAAAAGGGTCAGTCCGTATTAATTTAATTAATAAATTAACATCTCAAGACCTAAAGTGGACACCTAACATCAAAAACATCATCAAAAAAGCACAACAAAGAATGTTCTTTCTGTGCCAACTCAGAAAGCTCAAACTGTCCAGGGAGCTGCTGATCCAGTTCTACAGAGGAATTACTGAGTCTGTCATCTGCACCTCCATAACTGTCTGGTTTGGCTCTGCAACCCAACAAGACAGATACAGACTTCAGAGGATCTTTAGAACTGCAGAAAAAACCATGGCTACCAACCTGCCTTCCATGGAGGACCTGTATACTGCACGAGTCAAAAAGAGGGCTGGGAAAACATCTACAGACCCCTCGCATCCTGGACATCAACTGTTTCAACTCCTACCCTCAAAACGACGCTACAGAGCTCTGCACACCAGAACAACTAGACACAAGAACAGTTTTTCCCCAAACGCCATCACTGTGCTAAACAAATAATTTCCTCAACACTGTCAAACTATTCACTAAGTCTGCATTACTATTAATCTTCTCATCATTCCTATCACCCGTCTCCTCCCACTTAGGACTGTACGACTGTAATTTTGTTGCTGGTATCCTTATGATTTATATTGATTGTTTCCTAGTATGATTTGATTGCTTATTTGTACCCTATGACTAACATTGTTGTACCTTATGATTCTTGACGAATGTATCTTGTCTTTTTATGTACACTGAACATATGCACCGAAGACAAATTCCTTGTATGTCCAATCGCACTTGGCCAAGAAAGAATCAATCTATCTATCTATCTATCTATCTATCTATCTATCTATCTATCTATCTATCTCTATGTGTCTATCTATCTATCTATGTCTATCTATCTATCTATCTCTATCTATCTATCATCTATCTATCTCTATGTCTATCTATCTATCTATCTCTATCTATCTATCTATCTATCTATCTATCTATCTATCTCTATCTATCTATCTATCTATCTATCTATCTATCTCTATGTCTATCTATCTATCTCTATCTATCTATCTCTATGTCTATCTATCTATCTATCTATCTATCTCTATCTATCTATCTATCTATCTATCTATCTATCTATCTCTATCTATCTATCTATCTATCTATCTATCTATCTATCTCTATGTCTATCTATCTATCTCTATCTATCTATCTCTATGTCTATCTATCTATCTATCTCTCTATGTCTATCTCTCTCTCTCTCTCTCTCTGTCTATCTATCTATCTATCTATCTATCTATCTATCTATCTATCTATCTATCATCTCATTTGTATTTATTCTGTCGTTCCCATTTCTGTTAACATCCTCATTTGAGCACAAAACTTTTTTAAAAAACACAAATATTCCTGCACACAATTTCAGGGGCATGCTATGACATCACAGGTTTTAGAGAAAGAGTTGCCTCAAAGGATAATTCTATTTAGCAGCCAAATATTAGATGAGGAAGCTGGGAGGAGCCTGCATAACAATGAAAATCACATAAAATTCCCCCACTGCTCAAGCAGTGCTAGATAGGAAGGACTTACGTTTTTCCAGGGGATCGTTTAAGCCAGAAAATGTCATCGCTTGTAATTCCAAACTCTTGGGCTCCTGCAACCTGAAAACAAGAAGAAACAGAATCCTGGGGCTGGAAAAGGGACCTTGGAGGTCTTCTAGTCCGACCTTCTGATCAAAAGGCAGACCTTATTATCATCCTGGTCAAATGGTTGTCTGGTCTATTTTTGAAAACCTGCAGTGATGGAGTACCCACAACTGCAAGAGGTAAGTTATTTCACTTTTAATTGTTCGAAACTGTCAGAAAATTTCTCCCTAGTTCTGGGTTGCCTCTCACTTTCATAAGCTTCCATCTGATACTTTTCAGGGTGGATAAAAATCGAGGATTTTAAAAAAATAAATAAAAACAAAACGGATTTTTAAAAATTTACATTGGATTTTTTTTTAATTTAAATCAGATTTTTTTTTTTTTTATCAAATTTCTTTTAATAAAATTCTTTTGGAATAAAAATCTATCTAAAGATAGTTTTGTATTGAAGATACATTCATAATTGAGTTTGTTCAGCATGAAATGGAGCTTAGTTATGTAGCATGAGGCTGTATATTACCATTACAATTACTATTAATTTTCTCACCGTTCCCATCACTCATCTCCTCCCACTTATGACTGCATGACTGTAACTTCGTTGCTGGTATCCTTATTATTTATATTGATATTGTTTCCTGATTGCTTATTTGTACCTTATGATTATCATTAAGTGTTGTACCTTATGATTCTTGATTAATGTATCTTGTCTTTTTATGTACACTGAGAGCGTATGCACCAAAGACAAATTCCTTGTGTGTCCAATCACGCTTGGCCAAGAAAGAATTCTATTCTATTCTATTCTATTCTATTCTATTCTATTCTATTCTATTCTATTCTATTCTATTCTATTCTATTCTATTCTATTCTATTATTTTCTGCAATATTGGGACTGTTGGTGAGTCAATAGGTCAGAGGAAGAGCTGCTGTGGGACAGATGACAGTTGCTCTTAAAAAATATGACTTAAATTTTTATTTAAATGATTTATATGTATTTTATTTGGCTGTTCACCGCCCTGAGTCCTTCGGGAGTAGGGCGGTATACAAATTCAATAAATAATAATAATAATAATAATAATAATAATAATAATAATAATAATAATAATAAATCAAGTTAATTTAAATCAAGCCTTTTCACTAGTGATTTAAAACATGATCTGAATCGTGATTTAAATCGACTTGATTTAAATCAAATCCACCCTGATACTTCTTGTCTTGCCCTCAGGTATTTTGGAGAATAAATCAACCCTCTGTTCTCTGTGAGAGCCCCTCAAATATTGGAAGATGGCTATCACCCCCTAGTCCTTCTCTTCCTTAGACTAGGCATACCTAGCTCCCTCAACCGTTCATCCTACGAGAGAATGTTCTGGAATTCTTCATTAGAAGAGATGGGCATGTGAAGATCAACATGTATGAAGAATTAAATGAGACTCTAATTGCATTGAATTTGCTTTGGGAGTTTATTGGGTTTTTTTCCTTCTAAAAAAATCTTCGCAATATCTGCACGGCCGGGGAATTCTGGGAGTGTTAAATCTGCAAATGCTGGCTGGGGAATTCTGGGAGTAGAAGTCCACATATCTTCACGTGGCCAAGGGTGAGAAGCCCTGCTGTAAATCGATCTTTCACCACAAATCAGCCAAAAAGCTACCCTCAAGTTAACTCAGGTTAATGCCAAGTAGGAACAAACTAAGGTTACCTCTGTGGGGTATCTTGGTCTGCCACCAGTGGCAAGAACTACGTGGTCTGCGGTGAGTAGGGTCTAGGAATAATTAGAGAAAAAAGAAAAAATAGGAAGAGGAATTCAAACCGAGCATCTTTAGACCATCCTGTGTATTCATGTCATACTGGGAAAATATAGTTATCTCCCAAAGTATAATATCATGGCAATTATAGGTCAACAATCTGTCTCACATAATAGCAATAACACTTAGACTTATATACTGCTTCACAGTGTTTTTACAGCCCTCTCTAAGCAGTTTAAGAGTCAGCCTCTTGCCCGCAACAATCCGGGTCCTCATTTTACCCACCTCGGAAGGATGGAAGGCTGAGTCAACCTTGAGCTAGTGAGGATCGAACTCCTGGCAGTGGGCAGAGTCAGCCTGCAATGCTGCATTCTAACCACTGTGCACCATGGATGGATGGAACAATAGCACTAGCACTTAGACGTATATACCGCTTCACAGTGCTTTTATAGACCTCTCTAAGCGGTTTACAGAGTCAGCCTATTGCCCCCCAACAATCTGAGTCTCCTCATTTTACCCACCTCGGAAGGATGGAAGGTTGAGTCAACCTTGAGCCTGGTGAGATTTGAACTGCCAAATTGTAGGCAGCCAGCAGTCAGCAGAAATAGCCTGCAATACTGCACTCTAACCACTGCGCCACTGTGGCTCATAATACACTCAAAGGGATTTTGATTCCAGATAAATTGCAGGGGTTAGGCCCATGATGGCGAACTTATGGCACGCGTGCCCAAAGTGGCACCCAAAGCCATGTCGCCCAGCACGCGCAGCCTTGCCTGTTTGTCTTCCGGCTTTCTGGCGCGCAGGCGCGCCTGACGGTCAGCTGTCCTTTGGAGGTGCAGCAGTGCTGAAAACCAGTGTGCACATATGCCCTGGCCAGCTGATTGTTGGCTGTGCATGCATGCCAGAAACCGGTGCGCGGCCCTGATGAGCGTGAGCGCACGTGCGTGCGTCACATTTCCGTGCAACCTTTTCGGCACCGCCATCACTGGGCTAGGCTCATCCAGAAACCAGGATTAACAAACCCCCAACATTCTGGTTCAATGGTGTCGTAAGGGGGGAATCCGTCGAAGAAATCAAAATGGCACCTGCATTTATGCAAATGAAGCCCCACCCTTTGCATGGGCACCTGGCACCTATCTCAGGGCTTAACATTTTTAAATATCATCTTAACTTCTGAACAAAACCCTCGTGGATGTTCCTGCCCAGGGTTCAAAGGACATGCCAAGTCCAACCTCTGAAGGAACAACCTTAACAGCTTCATGGGACGGTTAGGGGGTAGAGTGGTTAGAGCCTCCTTACCAGGGTGGGTCCTACATTTTTTTACTACTGGTTCTGTGGGTGAGGCTTGTTTTGTGGGCGTGGCTTGGTGGTCATGTGACAATTCTTTAGGATTTAGCACAGGTACTGGTCTACCAGGCTTTTAACTGCTTGCAGAGTTGTACCGATCTACTTATGTATTTTTGCAGGCACTGGTCTACTCATGTATTTTTGCAGACACCGGTCTACTCATGTATTTTTGCAGGCACTGATCTACTCATGTATTTTTGCAGGCACTGGTCTACTCATGTATTTTTGCAGGCACTGGTCTACTCATGTATTTTTGCAGGCACCGGTCTACTCATGTATTTTTGCAGGCACTGGTCTACTCATTTGTTTTCTTTTAACACTGATCAGCTGTAGGGCGGCCCTTTGAAGCCCCGCGGCAAGAGTTTAAACAGATTTTTTCCCTTTAGCCATCAGCTGGGACTCAGGAGGCAGCAGTAGATTGGGGGTGGGGCCAAATAAAAGGTAAGAATAATGCGGGGTGGAGGGTGGGGCCAGAACCAGTTCGGTGACGTAATATCGTCACCGCTACCGGCTCGGGGGAACCGGGCCAAACCGGGAGGAACCCACCACTGCTCCTTACCTCCTTGTTTCCTTTTGCTACCCCACGGATGGTGTGTGCATCCACAAAGCTGCCTTTCAGATTGAAGTATTTGACCTTTCTGGAGGAGGAGGGAGAGGAGATGAAAGAAGGGATAAAGAAGAATGGAGGAGGAGGAGGAGGAGGAAGAATAGAAGACAGGAGAAGGTGGAAGAAGGGACAGATGAGATGGAGGAGGAGAATGGAAGAAGAGTGGAGAAGCAGAAGGAAGAGGAGGAGAAGAATGAAGGAGGGATAGAGAAGGAGGGGGGAGAAGAGGAGAAGAGAGGAAAAGGAGGAGGAAGGGACAGATGAGATGGAATAGGAGAATGGAGAAGGAAAAGATGGAAGAAGGGATAGAGAAGGAGGAAGAGGAATGCGGAGGGTGGAGGAGGAGGAAAAGGAGGAGCAGAAGGTGGAAGAAGAGACAAAGAAGGAGGAGGAAGAGGAGGAGATGTAAGAAGGAATAGAGAAGGAAGAAGAGGAGAAGAGAGAGGAGGAGGAGGAGGAAGGGACAGATGAGATGGAGAAGGAGGAATAGGAGAAGAGTGAGAAGAAGGAATAAGGGATAGAGAAGGAGAAGGAGAAGAAGGAATCAGAGAAGAGGGTGGAGGAGGAAAAGGAGAAGGAGAACATGGAAGAAGAGACGGAGGAGGAGGAGGAAAACGAGAAGAAGATAAATGCAGCAAGAGCAGTAATAATAATAAATACAGGTCCACTCAACTCCTTTATCAGACTCCTTTGCAAGTCAGTTGCATCACCTTCCATGTGTTTCTCTCTCAATTAAGCATTTGATGAAGGACCTGGGATAGGCAGATGTTACTGCTGTTGTTTAATTATATTAAAACACCCTCGTGGGATGTAAGCTGTTCCAAGTTAAACTGCCTTTTTGCAATTGACCGGTGGGGATTGTGTCAATGCCGATGCTATTCAGATGTTTTGGGATTGCACCCAAGGCGCACCCTGGATGCTATCTTTGCTTCCTTTGCTACAACCATTAGGAAACGATGAGAAATAAAATAAATATATGATTTTGAAATGAAACAAATAAATATGAAATAGAAATAAAACTACAAGTAGATCACGAGAAAATAAGGTGCATGATAGTAGATTTAGAATGAATGAGCTGGAAGGGGCCTTGGAGGTCTTCTAGTCCAGCCCCCTACTCAAGAAGGAGAACCTATACCATTTCAGATAAGTGACTATCTAGTCCAGGGGTCTGCAACCTTAAACACTCAAAGAGCCATTTGGACCCGTTTCCCACAGAAAAGAAAACACCGGGAGCCACAAAACCTTCCCGTGCCTGACTATTTCTTGAGCGGCCACAAAACTAGCATAGGTAGTTGAATTAAATGTTCTTTTTTCTTCTGAAACTTTTCTTTTCTTGGATTTATCCATGGTTGGCCTACCGGGGGTTGAAAAGCTCAATAAATTGGGTGCCGGCAGATATCACACATTGGCAGTTGTGACACATATTTTGAGTGACAGGGACCTGCAGCAGAGGGATGAAAGAGCCACATGCGGCTCGAGAGCTGCAGGTTGCTGACCCCTGCTCTAGTCTCTTCTTAAAAACAAGCTGAAACAAGTAAACAAGGAGGACTTGGGTGTGCAAAATTACCATCAGAAGCCAGACGTCCTGAAGCAAGATACAACTGGGGAGAAACTCATCATCTCAATGTTCCCCTGAACCTTTTACTCCATTTTTACACTGGACTTTTCAAATGAAAAAAATGAAAATGAAATGTTTGGAGGCGTAGGAAAGAAAGAGGTGCTTACTTATCTTGCAACTGTAACCTGTGTCCCCAATTCAAGGATTTGACGTAGTTTTGAACTCCTTTGGCCATCACAGACCTGGGGGACAAAGAGAGAGAGAGAGAGAGAATTTACAAAGCTGAATGGATTTAAGGGATTTAAAACGGATTTAAGGACAGGAACAGTGGTGGGTTTCAGATTTTCTTACCCCCGGTTCGTCCTGCGCATGCACACTCGCTCCGTGCGCCTTCCCTGTAGGCGCTTCGCTTGCACGCCTTCCCCACATATGCCCGGTCTTAAAAATGTGCCTAAATAGGATGGCATAGAGCCGTGATGGCGAACCTATGGCACAGGTGCTGTTGTGACTCCGACCCCCGAGGCCGACTTATCGGAGGGAGAAGGCTCCGAACGTGAAGGAGAGGAGTTGGCCAGGCCTCCCTCTCCAGGACCCTCCTCTCTGGCAATGCCTCAGGTGTCTCCCGAGGGAGAAGAGTTTGGCCAGGAGCCAGGTATCTCCTCGCAGTCGGACAGTGACGGAGATAAGTCTTGGCTGGATCCACGCCAGCGTCGGAGAGACAAGCGCACGCAGCAGAAAAGGAGGCGTGCCAGAGATTAAGCTGAGTCACTGGACCACATTCCACAGGGGATAAAAGGGGGTGAGGTGGCCATTCAGACTCTCTGACGGACAAAACTAACTACTAGCGAGTCACATTGTATCTTTGAAACAACGTTATCTGCCTTGGATTTAATACGGACTGGACTTGACAATTCTTGAACTGTGTGTATCTTGTTTGGGTTTATCTGTCGGAGGAACAACCCCTCCCTCTATGAGTAAAGTTCTTGGCAAGCAGCTACTGGGTTGCTGCCAATCCTCTTTTCGAAAGAATTTGTTGTCTGCCAGTTTTATTTAACCCCTGGCTGTCTGTTTGTGTGCGTGTGTGAGACGGGGACAGAACAGGTGCCACAGGTGGCACAGGGAGCCGTATCAGTGGGCACGTGAGGATTGCCGTAGCTCAGCTCCAGTGGGCATGTGTGCGCTGACCACCTGATTTTTGGGCTTTTCGGTCCTACCAGAAGTTGGGAAATGGGCTGTTTCTGGCCTTCGGAGGGCCTCTGGGGAGAGTGGGGAAGGCTGTTTTCGCCCTCCCCAGGCTCCTAGAAAGCCTTTGGAGCCTGGGGAGGGTAAAAAACAGGCCTACCGGGCCCAGTGTGCCATCATATGCTAAAAGGGGGGGCGCATGCACAGGGATGGGGCGCATTGAATTATGGGTGTGGGCACACATATGGGCGACCTCGCCGCGCTCCCCCCGCTTTTAGCACGCGACGGCAAAAACGTTAAGCCTGTTCCTAGTGTGTGCATGCGCAGAGCTGCCAGAAGGCACAAACAGTTAAAATAAAAGGGATGACTCAGGAGTAAGGCCTGGAGATGATTGGCCACTCCCATAAGGCTTAAAAGAGAAACAAAAGCATTTGGTCCTTTTGCAGGAAAGCAACATTGCTAACTCTGTTTCCAGTTGGCATCTCTTGTTTGTTTCTGATCTCCGTGGGGCTTTGCCAAGTTAGGCCTTTGGCAGGATGTCAAAGAAGATAAAGGTTGGTGATTATCCCGAAGGACTTCTTCCGAAGGACTTTTCTTTGCAACTAATTGGGACTCAGCTGGGAATGAATGTAATTCTCAGCTGTTACAATAAAATAGGGTTTTTTGCGGACTAATTGTGTATTGTAATGACTCAGAAGCCTAGGTCACAACAGGTTAGCATAAATCTTTAAAATCTTCATATTTGAAAGTGAAATTATTTGGGGCAAAAATCCTCTTCCTTCTAGGCAAATGTATAGCATAGAGTGGATGAATCCACAGACCAACCCAGTAGAAGACAACGTCCTACAGCCTTTCTCTTCTACAGTCTTCCTCTTCCTAGTTCTTCTAGATCCTTTTGAAGGGTTTATGCACAGGTAAGTTGCAAAAAACAGATAGGAGAGTTGTCTTACCAGTCGTGACTGATACGATGGGGTACGTTCCAGCCATAACGTTGGGCATCTCGGACCGAATGTCCCAGGAGAGCTGCTTGGTGCATCAACTTCTTCGGAATACAACCCACGTTCACACACGTCCCACCAAGCCCCCATTTGGTTCCTGGAGAAGACAAAAAGCCACACCCTCATTCATTGGTGGAGCTTGTTCCCACGTCCTGAGCAATATCCCGTTATATCCAACCATGCCATCTGTTGCATTTATGAGCAAATAAAGTCAAGGGGGAAACCAGATTCACTTAACAACCGTGTTACTAATTTAACCACCGCGGTGACTCACTTAACAAATATGACAAGAAAAGTCTTAAAATGGGGCAAATCTCACTTAAACAAATTTCTCACTGAGCAACAGAAATTTTGGACTCAATTGTGGTCGTAAATTGAGAACTACTTAAAGGTAATTAACTAAAGATAAAGGTTCCCCTCGCACATGTGTGCTAGTCGTTCCTGACTCTAGGGGGCAGTGCTCATCTCCGTTTCAAAGCCGAAGAGCCAGCGCTGTCCGAAGACGTCTCCGTGGTCATGTGGCCGGCATGACTCAACGCCAAAGGCGCACGGAACGCTGTTCCCTTCCCACCAAAGGTGGTCCCTATTTTTCTACTTGCATTTTTTCTTATGTGCTTTCGAACTGCTAGGTTGGCAGAAGCTGGGACAAGTCACCGGAGCTACATGGCACTAGGGATTCGAACCGTTGAACTGCCGACCTTTTGATCGACAAGCTCAGTGTCTTAGCCACTGAACCACCATGTTCCTCCTATATTTACATCACTCTAAATCAGGAGCATTCAACTTTGGATAACTTTTAAGATTTGTGGACTTCAACTCCCAGAATTCCCCAGCCAGCCTTAGACATTTAAAGTCACAACAAGGACAAATTTATTTGCTTGCTTCTTACCTCTTGGAGAAGGATCCACATAATCTAGGACAGCTACCTTCTTTCCAAACTGGGCAGCTTAAACAAAGAGAAATAAAAGTTACAGGTGTGGTTGAAGAAAAGGATACAGTCATAGCAAACTGGTCCAAAGACAATTGAAACTTTAGATAAGCATCTTCTATTTGTTTCCCCCCAAATTCTGTTGTCGAGGGGTGGTTTCCAACTTTTTTCTTGATCAATTTGCTATTGACCAGATAGGGGGCACTATAGGACGGCTTTTGGCTTTGCATCCCAGCACAAGAATAAAACCGGTCCTACAGTGCCTCTAGTGGTTAGCAGCAAATATAACAATTCTGGGGAAGAAATGCAGGTAGTGACAGATTTTATTTTCCTGGGCTCCAAGATCACCGTACATGGCCCACGTTCCTCCCCAACCTCCTCACGGTCTGAGTCTGCCACCAGCTCTGCTGGCCACTGGCGGGCCACAACAGACAGCTGTAGCGGTACATGGGAAAGAGATGCTTGGGAGACAGGCAAAGAGAGATGCTGCCAAGGGAATTACTCAGATAACAGACTGCTTAGCTCACAGTTGTATAGTACCCTGTTTCCCCGAAAATAAGACATCCCCTGATAATAAGCCCAATCGGGCTTTTGAGCGCATGCGCTAAAATAAGCCTCCCCCCCCGAAAATAAGCCTTCCCCGAAAATATTTAAACGCAGAGCTGGAAATCAGGTAAGACGACAAGAGGATGCTCCACGCACCCCAAAATAATAAGACCTCCCCAAAAATAAGGCCAAGCGCTTATTTCAGGGTTCAGAAAAATATAAGTCAGGGTCTTATTTTCGGGGAAACATGGTAGGTGGAGAAAGATGCTTAGAAGGGATCCTCCCTAGTTTGTCAAGCTGTAAAGGAGATGGGGAAGAATTGCCCTCTGAGACTTGCTAGATTTTGTTAATATAGCTGTCAGACTGCGGTGCTATCTCAAAATTAAATGAATTTCCAAATTGCCAATCTTTAAGGAAATCTTTCTTTAATTGAGCTCAGCCACCGGATCATGACTCTGCGCGGACAAGACTGACCTTTTGCCTCCCAATCCCTCCCTTTCCGATCCCCAAATCTCTGCTTCTCATTGGCTGTCTTCCAAGTCATTCTTCAAACTTCTTTTCCTCGTCATTTCCCAGGAATGTGCCCCCTCCCCTCATTTCCATGACAACCGGGCTTCAAAGGGATTTAGCAGGCAAAAGTTTCAGAGTTTATCTTTCGCACTCCTCTGCTCTCTCTATGCCAGCATTCCAATGCTGACAATAGCTTTATTATCTGAGGGACTGTCTCTTGCCGGTCACATCCATCCGACCCACTAGAGCAGGGAGGCAAGGAATGTTGCGGGTCCCATCTCCTAAGGAGATATATCTGGCAGGACCCAGAAGAAGGACCTTCTCTCCCTCTGGAACATCATCCCTCCAGAAATCAGCTCATCTTTTGGAAGGCCCTGAAGATGAAGTTCTGCCAGCGGAACCTGAGGAACCCAAAGCGGACTGGAGTCCATTAAATGGATGGTATGAGTGTGTGTTGTTGCCGGGGTGGTGGCTTATTATTTTATTATCCATACTCCACCCCACAAGGGATTATGGGGTCATTAAAAGATGATGATGATATTAGATTTAGCACTAAAGTTCTCTGTTAGAGGTGGAGCTCTCGCCTCACAATCAGGAGGCTGTGAGTTCGATTCTAGGTAGAGGCAGATATTTCTCTCTCTGGGCACGTTGATAATATATCTGCTGAATATAACTCCGTACCGGTAACAGGAAAAGCATCCGGCCAGTAAACACTCAGCTCCATTTAGTTGCCCCATTATTATTATTTTATTATTTTTATTTCTTTTATTATTTTTATTTCCTGTAAGCCAATTTGAGTCCCCGTGAGCGAGCAAGTGGCGATATAAACAAACAAACAAGTCAAATTAACTTCTCTAAGTTATATTTCCCATCTGAGGAGGACAAGTCCACACCACAAATCCCATCGACATACCTTCTTTAGCACAAGCCAATCCACCAGAGCCTCCTCCGATAACAAGAAGGTCGTATTCATTCTTCCCTGTTTAAAAGAAAGAAAACATTTTAAAACAGCGGTAGATATTATTCAATGTCACCTTCAAATGAAAGTCCGTGGCCCGCAGTAAGGTAATGAATTGTCATATCATAAACTTCTTTTTGCATTGGTTTTTTTTTTTTAAGGCAACAGTATTCCAGAGAGAAGGATAATGGGGAGAACTTTAAAACATCTATCTGTCTATCCATCCATCCATCCATCCATCCATCCATCCCATCTATCTCTACCTATCTATCTATCTCTATCTATCTATTTATCTCTATCTCTATCTATCTCTCCCTCTATTTATCTACATCTATCTATCTCTTATCTCTCTCTATCTACATCTTTCTCTCTTTCTATATCTATTATATATATCAATCAATCAATCTATAATCTATCTATATCTATCTCTATCTATCATTCTCTCTCTCTATCATCTATCTATCTATCTCTCTTATCTCTCTCTACATCTTTCTCTTTCTATATCTATTTATATCTATCTATCTATCTATAATCTCTCTCTCTCTATCTATCTATCTCTATCTATCATTCTCTCTCTCTATCATCTATCTATCTATCATCTATCTATCTGTCTATCTATCTATCATCTATCTATCTATCATCTATCTATCTATCTATCTATCTATCTCTATCTATCTATCTATCTAATCTATCATTCTCACTCTATCATCTATCTATATATCTATCTCTATCTATTTACCTCTCTCTCTCTCTCTCTCTCTACCATTTCTCTCTCTCGCCCTCCCTCCCTCTCTCTCTCCATCTACACACACACACACACACAGACACACACAGAAAGAAAAAGTGGGGAAGAGCTTTAAAACATTTACACACAGAGAGAAAGAAAAATGTGATTATAGCTTTAAAAAAAATCCCCAGCCACCAGTGTGAATTAAATCATATTTAACTTTAGAGTTTTCCTAAATTCTTTGCTTTTAATGTTGCAGTCACAGCTATCTTCCACCCTTTAAAATGCCCCTGATCTGCAGAAAGATCTATTTCACTTTTTAATTGTTTTGCACTAACAGTTCCGATCACAAACAATTCTGGGTTTCTTTCATTTTCATCTCTGAAAGGATGGAAGTCCGCCAAACATCCTTTGCTCTTCTTCCTTTTGGGATATCTAAAACCTCAGGCCGAACAAAGGGGGGAAGAGAGATAAGTCACACAAATATTTATTGTTTCAGTTTATGAATCCCAAATCTGTTGCAAGAGCGAAAAAACATCATGGCATGTAGCCAGCAAGGACAGAGAAACCAGAAGAAGTTACAAAGCAACCAACCCAGGAAAATTCAGGAAATTCAGTGATTATTAAATAGTCCAGAATTATTTGGACAATGTTATCAAAGTTAACGGTAACATTATAACAGAGTTGGAAGGGACCTTGGAGGTCTTCTAGTCCAACCCCCTGCTTAAGCAGGAGGTCCTTTACCATTCTGGATGAAAGGCCGCCCAATCTCTTCTTGAAAACCTCCAGTGCTTTTCTTTTCATTGTTTATTCTATTCTTCCATTACTTTGCTACTGTTAGAACAGAATAACAGAGTTGGAAGGGACCTTGGAGGTCTTCTAGTCCAACCCCCTGCTTAAGAAGGAGTCCATATATACCCGTGATGGCGAACCTATGGCACGTGGTGGGGAAGGCCCGTTTTTTGCTCTCCCCAGCCTTCAGAGCCTTTCTAGGTGTCTGGGGAGGGCGAAAACGGCCTTTCCCACCCCCCCGGAGGCCCTCCGGAGGCCCGAAATGGCTGGAAGTTGGCAAACGGCCCTGAGGCTTGCCCCAAAGAGGCCTCTCCTATCTTATTCCCTTCTCTCCCTCAGGCTGGCCCCATTGATCCTATCCTATCCCCTTCTCTCCCTCAGGCTTGCCCCCACAGTCCCTTTTGGAGAAGGCTTGTATACGAATTAAATTAAATTAAATTAAAATAAAATAAGAGGCCTCTCTTATCTTATTCCCTTCTCTCCCTCAGGCTGGCCCCATTGATCCTATCTTATCCCCTTCTCTCCCTCAGGCTTGCCCCACAGAAGCCTCTCTTATATTATCCCTGCTCTCCCTCAGACTGGCCCCATTGATCCTATCCTATCCCCTTCTCTCCCTCAGGCTGCCCCACAGAGGCCTCTCTTATATTATCCCCTGCTCTCCCTTTCAGGTGGGGAGTAGAATGTCTAAACTCCCAGCCTGCAGGCTGGATGAGTCACGTGCTGGCCATGCCCATGCCCAAGTGGCAGTTGGAACAGAGTTCTTTTCAGGTGGGGAGGGGGAGTAGAACGTCTAATTCCTTAGCATCAGAGCGTGTTAATAATAATATAAGAAATGCTAATGATCTGATAGTCATTTCGAAAAATCCTTTCTTAGCGAGTACCTAGAAGCCAAGAGGAAGATACGTGCCAAATTTCAAGTTTGTAGGCTTTACGGTTCTGGAGATTTCGTGATGATGCGTGAATGGTATTTCGCTTTTATATATATAGATATGAGGTTCCCATTCTGGTGTCCGAGCCATATAATCTGAACTATTAACTAAAATAGGGCCTCTGCATTGCCTGCATTCCAGACTTGAGGCTGGAGGCCATCCAGTTCCTCCCATTTGTCACCATCATAGTATTTCTGGCCAGCTGCCCGACTTGCTCAACAAACCGAGAAATCAACAAGGGAAGAGTTTCGATGCCATTGCAGCCCTGACATGTCCTGCTGAGAACTACAAACCTGTCCTTTCCCCACTACATTCTTCAACCAGGAGAGGAAAAGGTAAGGAATCTCGTGGAAGCTTCGGGGGTTCCAGATCCCATGTTAATCGGTTGACAGGAAGCACGGTTTAAGGCTAGAAGGGTTGATCTACAGCAGTGGCCCCACAGAAAAGAAAACACCGGGAGTCACAAAACCCTTCCCGTGCCTGATTATTTCTTGAGTGGCCAAAAAACTAGCATGTGTAGTTGAATTAAATGTACTGTTTTCTTCTGAATCTTTTCTTTTCTTGGATTTATCCATGGTTGGCCTACCGGGGGTTAAAAAGCTCAATAAACCGCGTGCCGGCGGGTGTCACACATTGGCGGTGGTGAAGCATGTTTTGAGCGACAGGGAGCCACAGTAGAGGGGTGAAAGAGCCACATGCGGCTCCAGAGTCGCAGGTGGCTGACCCCTGTTATAGGTCATCTAGTCCAAACCCCCCCTCCCCCACCTTGCCTAAGCAGGAGACCCTACATCATTGTAGGAAGTTGGCACCCACCCCTTTCCTAGAAGAATGAAATATTTTGGGAAATATTAAAAAGGCAGAATATTATGTTTCCCTGGATGAGAAATGGAGAAGCATGTTTTAAAGACAAAGCAGCTCCCACCTTCCTGTCCCCCACACCTTTGTCAACGGGCCAGAGGCAGAAACTCAATCCTTTGTCAAAGGATCATCATCTGCAACACAATAGGACCCATCTAGGACAGAAACTCACCACATGGCACCTGGGAAGATTACATCAGCCAGCAAGGCTAGCTAAGACCCCCACCCCCTGCGAGTCTGACAACCAATCAGGATACTCTTTCAATAATTTCAAATTGGGGTATTTTAAATTTCTGGGATTTTAATTTGAGCCTAATTTATTTAATGATTTTAAATTTTAATCGTTGTTTTGTTTTGTGTTTTTAAATAGGCTGTAAACCGCCCTGAGTCCTTCTGGAGAAGGGCGGTATAGAAATAAAATTATTATTATTATTATTATTATTATTATTATTATTATTATTATTATTATTATTATTATTATTATTTCTGGGACCCAGGAAGTTCAAAGCCAGAGAGGGCATAAAACCTGGGGACTCGCTGTATTTCGCCCTTTTTCTGTTCAGGAACTCAAACCATGTGATCCTGTCCACTATTAAACCATCTTTCCAAGCAGTCTCCATATTTCCAGTGTCTTTTTCCCCACTTGGAGCTGAACCCAGAAGGATAATTCTTCCAACACCATTTCTGACACAAATGACAAAAAATTTACCGCAAAGCATCAGGCGGCCTTCCTGGTGGGGTGGGGGGGTGGAGGCAAGTTTTGGGAAAGTTTTTGGCAACTTTTAAGCAAACCCACCCAAAACCCCAAGGCAGAGGAACAGAATATTTATTTATTTATTTATTTTTCATATTTGTATACCGCCCTACTCCCGAAGGACTCAGGGTGGTGAACAGCCATAATAAATACAAATACATATAGAAGTTAAAAACTATTAAGAAACAGATTAAGTAATTTAGGCTCAAAGATTAAAAACATCCACATTTATCTAAAGAGGTTTAAAACCCAATTTAAAAGCCAATTAAAAAGGGAGAGTTAGGCCAGACCATCTTAGAATAGGGCTGAGCCTGCTTTTTTTTTTTTTTTGCAAACTGGGGCTGCTGGGGATTGCAATGCCCACCTCCCACCCAGCCAGGCGTGCTGGCTTGTTCCCTCCCCCCACCCCCACCCCCAAGAATCCCCCCCCACTTCGATTTGATGGGCTCCTTTGCAAAGCAAGGGAGGGGGGGGGGAGAAAGCAAATGTCCACCCAAGTTTCTTGCTCCCTGTCTCTCTGCGCCCCAACTTTTCTCCAGAGGGGAAAAAAAAAAAGGCTGCAGCAGGCAGAAATGCAACAGGTGCAGCCTTTGGCCAGGCAAAGCTCGACCTGTTGAACGTCTGCCTGTGCAAGCAGTGCAAGGGGCCTCCTTCTGCTAGCTCTGCTGGAAATGAGGGACCCCTCCCTCCCCCAAGAAAGCCTCTTCCCCCTCCCCAGCCCACCTCCAAGCACCCACCCCCCAATTTTGCTTTGGAGGGGGGGGAAAGGGGGGGGTTTCTACCTGCTGAAAGAGCCCGCGCCGTACAGCGGAGCCAGGGCTCAACCCGGAAGCGCCCTCTCCAGAGCGCCGCCATGTTGTACGGCAGCTTCGCTTCGCCTTCAGGGCCACTGAAGAGCTCGGGGTCCTTTTGGAAAGGCGGCTAAAGAAAGCGCCTGACGGCTCCTCCCCCGCCGCCTGAAAAGCGACTGCTTTTTTTTTTTCTCCCGCGGAGAAAGAGAAGGCGAGGAGGGAAGAGAAAGAGGGTTCTCGCTTTCCTCCTCATGGCTGGAAGAGCAGAGCTTCCGGGCAAAGCGGGGGCGAGATGAAAGACAGGCAGTTGGATAGACACCAATATCAGAGATGCTTATTTTGACCTGCGAGGGTGGGGAGGGAGAGGAGGAGGAGCCTCTGCTGCCCAGGGAGGCGTGGCATTTTCCCCTCTGCATCTCATTAATATGGGTAAAGTATTAATATTTATTATATTTACGATTACGCATGTCTAATATAATCAAAATCTTAGCAATATGGGTACTAGATCCTTATCTATGAATGCTGATCTGGTTTGATTGTTGCATTATATTCTTTAATTTTGGGCGTTGCAAGGTTGTGGGCTATTTTTAATGATTTTTGGCCTTCCCTCCAAGAATTTATTAATCCGTGAAAAGTTTGCAGCTTCTTCTTCTTCTCCCCCCTCCCCTCCCCTGCACCGCAGGCATCCAACTGGTGCAGTTCTCCTTGGCATGAATGCACCAGCCAAGTTTAGGAGAAATTAAACTGGGCAGGAATCTTTCCATAGGCGGATCACACTGCAAAATAATCGACATTTTAAAATTGCAGGGGGTTTTAAGGTCTTCTGCCGATGACGCTTCGCCTCCCCAATTTTGGGGGTTTGGGATTTCTTTGAAATATTCAACTGGGGGGTGAAATGTAAAAATGTGTTACTACCGGTTCTGTGGGCGTGGCTTGGTGTGTGTGTGGGGGGGTGTAATGTGACTGGGTGGGCGTGGCCAACTTTTTTTTAAAAAAAAACTTTTCAAAGCATTTTTTCTAATGCTTTGAAAAGCCTCTGCCGATCAGGCAACTCAGCTGCCATCGTCAGAGAGTCTTTTTAAAAATGGCCTCTCTGCCGATCAGGCAAACTCAGCTGGCATCGTCAGAGACTTTTTAAAAATGGCCTCTCTGCCGATCAGGCATCAACTCAACTGGCATCGTCAGAGGCTTTTTAAAAAATGCCTCTCTGCCGATCAGGCAACTCAGCTGGCATCGTCAGAGGCTTTTTAAAAAATGCCTCTCTGCCGATCAGGCAACTCAACTGGCATCGTCAGAGGCTTTTTAAAAAATGCCTCTCTGCCGATCAGGGAACTCAACTGGCATCGTCAGAGGCTTCTTAAAAAATGCCTCTCTGCCGATCAGGGAACTCAACTGGCATCGTCAGAGGCTTTTTAAAAAAATGCCTCTCTGCCGATCAGGGAACTCAGCTGGCATCGTCAGAGAGTCTTTTTAAAAATGGCCTCTCTGCCGATCAGGCAACTCAACTGGCATCGTCAGAGAGTCTTTTTAAAAATGGCCTCTCTGCCGATCAGGCAACTCAACTGGCATCGTCAGAGAGTCTTTTTAAAAATGGCCTCTCTGCCAATCAGGCAACTCAACTGGCATCGTCAGAGAGTCTTTTTAAAAATGGCCTCTCTGCCGATCAGGCAACTCACTGGCATCGTCAGAGGCTTTTTAAAAAATGCCTCTCTGCCGATCAGGCAACTCAGCTGGCATCGTCAGAGGCTTTTTAAAAAATGCCTCTCTGCCGATCAGGCAACTCAACTGGCATCGTCAGAGGCTTTTTAAAAAATGCCTCTCTGCCGATCAGGGAACTCAACTGGCATCGTCAGAGGCTTCTTAAAAAATGCCTCTCTGCCGATCAGGGAACTCAACTGGCATCGTCAGAGGCTTTTTAAAAAATGCCTCTCTGCCGATCAGGCAACTCAACTGGCATCGTCAGAGGCTTTTTTAAAAAATGCCTCTCTGCCGATCAGGGAACTCAGCTGGCATCGTCAGAGAGTCTTTTTAAAAATGCCTCTCTGCCGATCAGGCAACTCAACTGGCATCGTCAGAGAGTCTTTTTAAAAATGGCCTCTCTGCCAATCAGGCAACTCAACTGGCATCGTCAGAGAGTCTTTTTAAAAATGGCCTCTCTGCCGATCAGGCAACTCAGCTGGCATCGTCAGAGACTTTTTAAAAATGGCCTCTCTGCCAATCAGGCAACTCAACTGGCATCGTCAGAGGCTTTTTAAAAAATGCCTCTCTGCCGATCAGGCAACTCAGCTGGCATCGTCAGAGGCTTTTTAAAAATGCCTCTCTGCCGATCAGGGAACTCAACTGGCATCGTCAGAGGCTTTTTAAAAAATGCCTCTCTGCCGATCAGGCAACTCAACTGGCATCGTCAGAGGCTTTTTAAAAAATGCCTCTCTGCCGATCAGGCAACTCAACTGGCATCGTCAGAGGCTTTTTAAAAAATGCCTCTCTGCCGATCAGGCAACTCAGCTGGCATCGTCAGAGGCTTTTTAAAAAATGCCTCTCTGCCGATCAGGGAACTCTGCTGGCATCCTCAGAGACTTTTAAAAGCATTTTTTCGTCCGAAGAGGTTGTAGAAAAAATGCTTTTAAAAGTAAAAAAAAAAGCCTCTGATGATTGTGGGGCTCAGCTGGGCATGGGGGGTGGAGGGGCCGCAGGGATTTTTGCTATCGGCTCTCCGAACCACCCGCCGCCATCGCTACTGGATCGGGCTATCCGGTCCGAACCGGGAGCATTTCACCCCTGATTCAACTGCTTTATTAATAGGGGATTCATAGCCTGGAAACTCCAGATAGACATCCCTGCACGTATGGATTTTCCTTAGAAAATCCATATTTTCGATCCATTTTCATAATGACTTTGAAAAGAAGGACATGGGAGGACATGATAGCAGTCTTCCAATATCTCAGGGGCTGCCACAAAGAAGAGGGAATCAAGCTATTCTCCAAAGCACCTGAAGGCAGGACAAGAAGCAATGGGAGGAAACTAGTCAAGGAGAGAAGCAATCTAGAAATAAGGAGAAACTTCCTGACAGTGAGAACAATTAATCAGTGGAACAACTTGCCACTAGAAGTTGTGAATGCTCCAACACTGGAAGTTTTTAAGAAGAGGTTGGATAACCATTTGTCTGAAGTGGTGTAGGGTTTCCTGCCTAAGCAGAGGGTTGGACTAGAAGACCTCCCAGGTCCCTTCCAACTCTGTTATTATATATTACATATTCTCTCATTGATTGCTGCCTGTGTTATGGAAAAAAGGGATCTGTTGAAGGCCGGCCTGTTAAAAATACAGGAGATTTGACAGGTGGGAAAAGAGGCTTTGTGTTTTTTGTTTTTTTTCAAATGTTTACTGCGTTTCTTAAAAGTTTGCTTGACAAGTATCACAGAGGAAAGAAATGTAGCAAGCTAAAAGGAAGAATAAGTATCGTTCAAGAAAGTTTGTTACAGTATTGTTATAAGAGGCTGTAACAGTATGATGTTGTTTTGAAATATCGTGTTTTGCTTTTACATATTTCGTGCTGGATAAATAGTTTAAAATCGGACGTCGGGAGCCTGGCTAATAAACCATCCTAGGAATAAGGTTGAAACAACATTCCGAAAGCAAAACGGATAATATTTTGTTGGTGTGACCGGAACCTGTGCGTATTAGAATAAAATATTTGGCTGGTGGTGAAACGCTAGAAAAAGTGCAGAGAAGAGGAACTGGGATGATGAGGGGACTGGAGGCTAAAACATACGATGAACGGTTGCAGGAACTGGGCATGGCTGGTCTAGTGAAGAGAAGGACCAGGGGAGACAGGATAGCAAGTCTTCCGATATTTGAGGGGCTGCCACAGAGAGGAGGGGGTCAACCTTTTTTGGAAACTTCCTGGAAACCAGGAGTGGGCTTCAAAAATTTTAGCAAGGAGTTCTCTGTCCGATTGCTGGTTGGGTGTGGCCATGGTGGGTGTGGGTTATTTGGCCTTCTGCACCATGGCAAGGGGGGGTGTTTTTGACCTCCCCGGGCTCCGGAGGCTTTTCTTGAGCCTCCAGGAGGGCGAAAATGGCCTCCCCAGGCTATGGAGGCCCTCTAGAGGCCGGAAAAGGGCCCATTTCTGGCCCTTCCCAAACTTCTGGTAGGCCCGTTTTTCGCCTTTCCTGAGCCTCCAGGCGCCCCCTGTACTTACCTGCATCCAAAACGGGCCGCATGGGGACTCCTGGGCGGGGCAGGGCGGGGCCAGCCAGGAGTGGGATCTGGGGGTTCTCCAAACAGCACAGAATCTTAGCTAGAGGTTCTCCCGAACCCTTGTGAACCCCCAGCAGCCCATCCCTGATGGAAACTGATCAAGGAGAGATATTCAACCTGGAAATAAGGAGAAATTTTCTGATGGTGGGAACGATCAACCAATGGAACAGAAGTTGCCTTTGGAAGTTGTGGGAGCTTCATCACTGGAGACTTTCAAGAAGAGACTGAACTGCCATCGGTCAGAAATGGTGTAGGGTCTCCTGCTTGGGTGGGGGGTTGGACTAGATGACCTACAAGGTCCCTCCCAACTCTGTTAATCTGTTAAAACTAAATGGAAGTCTTGGGAAGAATAGTTGATAGCTGTTGGGAAAGTGATTCACCCCTCAAATACAGGTAGGCCTCGACTTACAACAGTTCATTTAGTGACCGTTTGAAGTTACAACAGCACTGAAGAAAGTGACCCATGACCGTTTTTCATACTTATGACCGTTGCAGCATCCCCACATGGTCACGTGATCAAAAATTCAGATGCTTGGCAACTGATTCACATTTATGACGGTTCTGGTGTCCCGGAGACATGCGATCTTCTGGCAAGCAAAAAAGTCAATGGAGAAGCCCAGATTCACATAACAACTGCAACGATTCACTTAACAACGGTGGAAAGAAAGGTCGTAAAATAGGGCAAAACTCACTTAATCCCTGTCTCGCTTAGTGACGGACATGTTGGGCGCGAGGATGTTGCAACGGTTATAAAGTGTGAAAAACCGGTCAGAAGTCCCTTTTTTCAGTGCCATTGTAACTTCGAACGGTCACTAAACGAATTGTCGTAAATCGAGGACAATCTGTAAAAGGTCTCCTACCTTAAGCTGGGGGTTGGACTAGAAGACCTCCGAGGTCCCTTTCCTTCCCAGCCCTAGGATTCTATGTAAATCTGTTTAGATTGCACGTAAATCTGTTGGATCTGCTGAAATCTTCTGAAACAACTGATATTTGCAGCCTCAGATGCTTGCTTTTCTCTCCTTCGTCCTCAAGCTAGCTTAGCAAGGGTGAACTACTGTATGATCCCTGTTTACTGAGAAACGTGTAGCAGCTTTTGACACGTTCAAACCCTCCAGAGGAAGCCATAATTAAGTGTTTGTGCAGATGGCAAGTGCAGCAATGATCTCCCCAGGGAAGAGATAATTACGTTCTCAGAATAGATCCCTTGATCTTGGGGTGGGGGGTGGGGATCCCATCCTGATCCTAAGAAATCAGGCAGAGTCTAGAAAGATTTGGTTTATCTGGAGCACAAGCCCACTGTGGAATGGTTAGGAACACAAACGAACAAAAATACGAGCTGCAAAAATGTGTATGATCTCTAGATGGCAGCACAGGGTTCAGTTTTCCGTGTGCTTGTGGCCCTCTAGTGTTGGTTTGGGGTTTTATGTTTTATTTTGGGCCAATCACTAGGAGACGGTGAGTTCTAGTCCTCCCTTAGGCACGAAAGCCGGCTGGGTGACAGTCTTGGGACAGTCTCACTCTCTCTCTTAGGTCCAAACCTACCTTACAGGGTGGTTGTTGTGTGTGGGAGGGGAAATAGGAGGAGGAGGAGGCAAGCGCTTTAGGTATGTTCAGCACGTTGAATTCATTAACATGCGAACAAAGGTGATAATAAAGAAATAAATAAATACAGCTCAGAGCACCTTCTCTCTGCTTTGAGGGCTTCAGTCACTTGGAGCCAGCCCAGAGCAGTAGTTAAAGCACACCTGACCGAGCACCGTAACCAAGGAACCAGCTCCCTGTCAGAAGAGAACTCCGCTAGCCGAGCGAGAGACTGCCGTTGGTGCCTTTCAAGGACACCCGAAGAAAACGGGCAGGGGTGCCAAGCCGAGGAGGGGAGGACGAATCCGGGAGTAGCAGCAGGAGGAAGGGGGGCAAAGCTTGGAACCCTCCCTCAATCCACCCACCCTCCCGCTCCGCTTCCAAGGGATGTGCAAGTGATCCGTCGTAACCACAGACAAACCCCCGTTCCTCCTCGCTTACCTCAACCAGGAAGAATTCGCATTTCCACCAAGACACCCTTCATCCTCCTCTCCTCATCCTTGCCGGAAAGGTACCCATTTTTGATTTTTTTTTTCCACCACCCCCCCTTCCCCTCCTCTTCTGCAGACCTCGAGTCTGAGGAGGGAGGGAGGGAGGGGGGGGTTTCTTCTCCGTTGCAGTTGTGTGTCTTATGTGTGTTGCAACAAACACACACACACACACACACAAACGCACCATTTTTCTGAGGGCTGGGAAGAGCGGAGAAGAAAAGAAAGAAAGCTTTGTCTCTCATTCCTGCCCTGTTTATCACTCGCAGAGAGCAAGAGAGAAAGAGGGAGAGAGAGGGAGAGAGAGAGAGAGGGACAGAGGGAGAGAGAGAGAGGGACAAGCAGAGAGAAACAAAGAGAGAAAGAGGGACAGAGAGAAAGAGAAAGAGAGACAGAGAAAGAGGGACAGAGAGAGAGAAACAGAGAGAGAAAGAGGGACAGAGAGAGAGAGAAACGAGAGAGAGAGAGAAAGAGAGACAGAGAAAGAGAAAGAGAGAGAAAGAAGGACAGAGAGAAGGAAAGAGGGACACAGAGAGAAAGAGAATAAAGAGGGACACAGAGAGAGAGAGAAAGAGGGACACAGAGAGAGAGAAACAGAGAGAAAGAGGGACAGAAAGAGAGAGAGAAAGAAGGACAGAGAGAGAAGGAAAGAGGGACACAGAGAAAGAGAATAAAGAGGGACACACACACACAGAGAAAGAGGGACAGAGAGAGAGAAACAGAGAGAGAGAGGGACCCACACACAGAGAGAGAGGGACACACACAGAGAAACAGAAAGAGGGACAGAGAGAGAGAAACACAGAGAGAAAGAGGGACAGAAAGAGAGAGAAAGAGAGAGAGAAAGAAGGACAGAGAGAAGGAAAGAGGGACACAGAGAGAGAGAGAGAAAGAGGGACACAGAGAGAGAAACAGAGAGAGAAAGAGGGACAGAAAGAGAGAAAGAGAGAAAGAAGGACAGAGAGAGAAGGAAAGAGGGACACACACACAGAGAGAAAGAGGGACAGAGAGAGAGAAACAGAGAGAGAGGGACACACACAGAGAGAGAGAGGGACACACACAGAGAAACAGAAAGAGGGACAGAGAGAGAGAAACAGAGAGAGAAAGAGGGACAGAAAGAGAGAGAGAAAGAGAGAGAGAAAGAAGGACAGAGAGAAGGAAAGAGGGACACAGAGAGAAAGAGAATAAAGAGGGACAAGAGAGAGAGAGAGAGAGAGAAGTTGAGGAATTAGAGGGGAGGCAAGATTTCAGAATAGCAGATCTAGTGGGGGGGGGGGGGGGGCGGGCTAGAGGCAGAAATACCACAAAAATCTGTGTCTTAAATCATGGACACTGTGGTCTTCTATACTGAGCTGCAATCTGGTGCGTAGAAATGGGAGGCGTTTTGTCCAAAAAAGAACGGAATGTGCCAAGGTGGTTTGGGATGTTTTTGATGATGGAGACTTTAAAAAGAGCTGATTGTGGTTAAGGTCGGGACCTCATCCTTTGTGGGGTGGGGGGAACCCTCCTCTCTCTCTCTCTCTCTCTCCTTCCCTCCTTCCATCCCGTCGTGTCTCTCTCTCTCTCTCTCCTTCCCTCCCTCCCTCCGTCTTTCTCTCTCTCTCTCTCTCCCTCCCTCTCCCGCTCCCTCTCTTTTCTCTCTCTCTTTGGAAGGCAAGACAGGAGCCCAGTGTCTCCGGTGTCCTGAGGACACCAGTTGAATGGTGTGGCCTCGGTCATCTTGAAATGGTTTTAAGCTCTCAAGTCCTCTCAAAGAGGTGCTCCTTTTTGGAAATAATGTTGAATTGGTGGTTGTTTTTTTTTTGTTTGTTTGTTTTTGTGGTGTTAGTCTGATCTCTTTGTTTAAAGATGCTGGTTACATAAATTCTACATTAACCTTCTGGGGGTTTTTTTGGAAAGGAGGGAGGAAGGATTTGCTTAAAAGAGGAAAGAAGGAAGAGTGAAGGGAATGAGGGAGGGATATAGGAAGGAAGGAAAGGAAGGAGGGAGGGAGGGAGGGAAAGAAGGAAGGAAGGAAGGAAGGAAGGAAGGAAGGAAGGAAGGAAGGAAGGAAGGAAGATTTACTTAGAGCCTTGGTAGTACAGTGGTCTAAGGCACCCTGTTATTAAGCTGGTTATTAAGACCAGCTGCCTGCAATTACTGCAGGTTCGAATCTCGCCAAGGCTCAAGGTTGACTCAGCCTTCCATCCTTTCTAAGGTAGGTGAAATGAGGACCCAGTTTGTGGGGGAAATAAGCTGACTTTGTATAAATATACAAAAGTATGGAGGCTATTGCTTAAAGCATTGTAAGCCACCCTGAGTCTCCGGAGAAGGGCGGCATATAAATCAAATTAAAAAAAAAAAACAGGAAAGAAAGGAAGAGGGAAGGGAGGTGAAGGAAGGAAGGAAGGAAGGAAGGAAGGAAGGAAGGAAGGAAGAAAGGGTTATTTGCAGGAGGAGAGGGAGGTAAAGGAAGGAAGGAAGGAAGGAAGGAGGAAGGAAGGAAGGAAGAAAGAAAGAAAGAAAGAAAGAAAGAAAGAAAGAAAGAAAGAAGGAAAGGGTTATTTGCAGGAGGAGAGGGAGGTGAAGGAAGGAAGAAGGAAGGAAGGAAGAAAGAAGAGAAAGAAAGAAAGAAAGGGTTATTTGCAGGAGGAGAGGGAGGGGAAGGAAGGAAGGAAGGAAAGAAAGAAGGAAGGAAGGAAGATTTGCTTGAAAGAATAGGAAAGAAGGAAGGGTTATTTGAAGGGAATGAGGGAGGGATAAAGGAAGGGAGGAAGCTATCTTATTTGCAGGTGAATTATTCTGCTCACCAGAATAGAGAAGCCTAATAACCAAAGTGAATGGGGCTTTTTTTTTTGACGCCGACTATTCAGAATATTTGCAGGTGAGGTGGTTAGAAAGCACGATGCTTCCAGATATGGCTCTAGAGAGTGGACTTGGTGCCGTCAATGTTTAATTCTTGCAACATAAGCAACATTTAAAAGCAAACAAGCGTGACATCCGATCCTGCATTTGCGTCAGGGTTTTTATTCCCCTCGTAATCAGAATTCAGCTGGAAGATTAGGAAAGAGGAAGCGAGAGAGAGAGAGAGAGAGAGAGAGAGAGAGAGAGGCCTACTCGGAAGGTTTCACTGAATCAATTCAGACTTATTCCTAAATAAGCGTGTGTAGGGTTGTAGCTTCAATTCATCCTTTTTCCTGATGTGCAGTTTTTAGCGGAGAAAAACACAGATCCTATTTTTCGTTTCAAGCTACGGAGAAACCCGCTCATACGTTCCTGAAAATGCGAGGAAACTGACTAACGTTTTCCTTGGGTCAGGTAAGGTTAAGAGTCAAGTGGAATTCTGAGATTTTTGTTTTAATCCCCCAGTTTCTTAGTTTAGTTTACAATCCTGACATTTCTTGAGAGTTTTTTTTCCTTTGACCCTACTTGGCTTCTTCCAAGCATGGCTGGCTGAGGAATTCTGGGAGTTGAAGTCCACCCATCTTAACGTTGCCAAGGGGAGAGAAACAGCGACTTAATCCGCCTGCATCGATCGCGCAGAAAATATTGAATACAAGAAATGTATTTTGGCGTGGACAAGGGATTTGGGGGTTCAAGGAGTGGGGTTGATTGATTGATTTGGGTGACTTTGACTTTGGAGGTATTATAAAAAAGGGAGGAGGGAGGGAGAGAGAGAGAAAGAGAAGGAAAGAAAGAGAAAGGGAAAGAGAGAGCAAGGGGGAGAGAGGGGGAAATAGAGAAAAAGAGGGAGGAAGAGGGAAAGAGAGCGAGGGAAATGGGAAAGAGAGAAAGGGGGAAAGTAAGACAGGGAAAGAGAGAGAAAGAGAGAGAAGGAAAGAAAGAGAAAAAAGGGGGAAGTGAGGAAGTGGGGGTAGAGAGAGAAGGAAATAAAGAGAAAAGGGGGAAATAAGAGGGAAAGAGAGAGCAAGGGGGAGAGAGGGGGAGAGAGGGGGAAATAGAGAAAAGGGGGAGAAAGAGGGAAAGAGAGCGAGGGAAATGGGAAAGAGAGAAAGGGGGAAAGAGAAAGAGAGAAGGAAAGAAAGAAAAAGGGGGAAGTGAGGAAGAGGCGGTAGAGAGAGAAGGAAATAAAGAGAAAGAGGGGGGAAATAAGAGGGAAAGAGAGAGGGAAAGGGGAAAGAGAGAAAGGGGGAAAGTAAGACAGAGGGAAAGAGAGGGAAAGGGAGAGAAGGAAAGAAAGAAAAGGGGAAAGTGAGGAAGAGGCGGTAGAGAGAGAAGGAAAGAAAGAAAGAGGGGGGAAGTAAGAGAAAGGGAAAGAGAGAGGGAAAGGGAAAAGACAGAAAGGGGGAAAGTAAGAGGGAAAGAGATGGAAAGAGAAAGAAGGAAAGAGAGAAAAAGGGGGAAAGTGAGGAAGAGGGGGTAGAGAGAGAAGGAAATAAAGAGAAAGGGGGAAGTAAGAGAGAAAGGGAAAGAGGGGCAAGAGAGAGAAAGAAGAGAGAAAGAAGGGAAAGAGAGAAGGAAAGAAAGAAATAGGGGAAAGAGAGAGAGAAAGAGGAGGGAAGTAAGAGAGAAAGGGAAGAGGGGGAGGAGAGAAAGAGGGAGGAGTAAGAGAGAGAGAAAGGGAGGGAAAGAGAGGAAAGAAAGAAAGGGAAAAAGAATAGAGGAGGGAAGTAAGAGAGAAAGGGGAGAGAGGGGGAAGGAGAGAAAGAGGGAGGAAGTAAGAGAGAGAAAGGGAGGAAAAGAGAAAAGGGAAAGAAAGGGAAAAAGAAAAAGAGGTAAGTAAGAGAGAGGGGAAGAGAGGGGGAAGGGAGAAAGAGGGAGGAAGTAAGAGAGAGAAAGGGAGGGAAAGAGAGAGAGAAGAAAAAAAAAGAGATTGGGAAAGAGAGAGAGGAAAGGAATTACATTTTAATTTGTGCATATTTGCCAGATATCGACTTTCTGATAATCTCCAGCAAGGCAACATTCTGCAGGGAAAAAAAAAAACCCACAAATTAATTTTGCAAACCTTTCTGCATTAAGAGAAAAGCCGGAAGTTCCCGTTGTGAACTTTGTGTAGCCTGTCAGAATTTGCTGAGAGAGCAAAGTCGATCTGTTTAGTCAGAGAAACAAAGCAAAAAACAAACGAAAACTTTTTCTGAAACGCTGGAAACCTTATATGGACGTTTTGCTGGAAGAAGGAAAAAAAGAGATACGATGATATATCGATTTAAAAAGGTGCGGATTAAGGGAAGGGCTGACGACTGTGTAAGATGGTAATTACGGTTGAAGAAAAAGTCTGATCTCATATTTCATAAGTTTAGTTCCTTTCATTTTTTTTCATGCATATTTTTCTCTTTTCAAAAAAAAAAAAAGAGAGAGAGAAACAAATCCGCGAACCAAGATTGCACTTGATTGTAAAGTTTGTCTAGTGACGAGCAGTCACATCCTTTGAGTGAGATCAAGAGTCTAGCCTAGGGGTCGGCAACCTGTGGCTCTGGAGCCGCATGTGGCTCTTTCACTCCTCTACATCTGCCGGCACGCGATTTATTGAGCTTTTCAACCCCGGTAGGCCAACCATGGATAAATCCAAGAAAAGTTAAGTTTCAGAAGAAAACAGAAGATTTAATTCAACTACCTATGCTAGTTTTGTGGCCGCTCAAGAAATAGTCAGGCACAGGAAGGTTTTGTGCTCCGGTGTTTTCTTTTCTGTGGGAAACGGGTCCAAATGGCTCTTTGAGTGTTTAAGGTTGCAGACCCCTGTACTAGCCCTCATGTTCTGTTCCACGATTACAGGTAGTCCTCAATTTACAAGAGTTCGTTTAGCGACCATTCAAAGTTACAGTGGTACTGAAAAGAGTGACATATGATGTTTTTGACACTTAACGACCGTTGCAGCATCCCCTTCCTCTTTCCTCCCTCCTTCTTCTCCTTCCTCCTCCTGCTTTTCCTTCTCATCCTTGTCCTCGTCCTCTTCCCCTTCCTCCCACCCTCCCTTCCTCTCCTCCTTCTCCTCTTCCCCTTCCTTTTTCCTCCCTCCTCCTTCTCCTTCCTCCTCCTGCTTTTCCTTCTCATCCTCTCGTCTCTCCTTTTCCCCTTCCTCCCTCCCTCCCTTCCTCCTCTTCCTCCTTCTTCCTTCCTCCTCCTGCTTTTTCTTCTCCTCGTCCTCTCCTTTTCCTCTTCCTCCCACCCTCCTTCCTCCTCCTCCTTCTCCTCTTCCCCTTCCTTTTTCCTCCCTCCTCCTTCTCCTTCCTCCTCCTGCTTTTCCTTCTCATCCTCCTCCTCCTCCTTTTCCTCCTCCTCTTCCCCTTCCTCTTTCTTCCCTCCTCCTTCTCCTTCCTCCTCCTGCTTTTTCTTCTCTTCCTCGTCCTCCTCCTCCCTCCCCTCCCTCCTCTTCTTCCCCTCTCCCTTCTTCCTCCTCCTCCTGCTTTTTCTTCTCCTCCTCCTCCTTCTCCTCCTCCCAACTGCTGAACTTTCTTTTACTACCTGATTAAGAAATTCTCCAGATCATAAAGCATTTCTCTCTCTCTTTCTCTTTTTTGACAACTTCAGCACTCAGGAAACAGCCTTTCCTTGTCTGCAGAAAGCCCACTGCGTGGCGAAGCCCACTCTTGGCAGAGTAGCACAGTTTCCCCGGTGCAGAATTGGGCACCCAGCTCTGCGTCCCCAGGGGAAAAGGGAGAAGGCGGATCCTCCTTCCAGCCACGATGCCAGCAGCAGCAGCAGCTGCTCCTAGCTAGAGCTTCGGCCAAAAACAACAACAGAGTAATCTCTCGGTTAGGGGAAAACAGCAGGGCTGGTACACGAGGGAAGGAGATTAAGCTAGAGAGGAGAAAACCGTAGCAACTCCGAGTGGGGAACTCCAATACCAGACAGAGCTAAGTCGCAGGAGCACACCAATGCAGGTCGTCCTCTCCTTACAATCGTTCGTTTAGTGACCGAAGTCGCGCCAATGAAAAAAAAGTGACTTACGACCGTTTTTTCACACCTACGACCTACGTTGCAGCCTTTCCATGCTCATGGGAATCAAAATGCTTGGCAACCGACTCGCTTTTATGACAGTCGCAGTGTCTTGGAGTGTGTGTGTGTGTGTGTGTGTGTGTGACGCAGTGGTGGGATTCAACCGGTTCGTACCACTTTAGCTGAACCGGTTGTTAACTTGCTGGCTGGCCCCTCCCCTCCCCTCCCCTCCCCTCCAGAAGTCCCCACGCACCCCGTTTTGGCTCCCAGGTAAGTACAGGGAAGCCTACTAGGCCCAAAACGGGGTGCGGGGGGATTACGGTGCAGCCCCCACCCCCAACGGCCCGTTTTTGCTCCCAGGAGGCTGCACGGAGGCCTACTTGGCCCAAAACGGGGTGTGGGAGGGGCGCCGCCGCACCCCGGTTTTTGCTCCCTGGGGGGGTGCAGGAGGCTAAGTGCTGCCTGTCACACACCCCTGGCCACGCCCACCATGGCCACGCCCATCCAACGGGTGATTAGGGCAGCGAACCGGTTGTTAAAATTATTTGAATCCCGCCGCGATCCCTTTTGGCGGCCTTCTGACGAGCAAAGTCGACGAGGAAGACGGATTCACTTAACCACCGTGGCAAAGACAGGTTGTAAAAACGGGGCACACTTGTTTAACCCCTGCCTCGCTTAACAACGCAAATGTTGGGCCTCCATTGTGGTTGTAAGCAGAGGACTACCTGGTATAGATTTCTTACAAAAAAAAAAAAGGGAGGATATTGATAAGGCTGAACGTTAAATAAACATTAAAAAAAAAAAAGAGCCTTGGTAGTACAGTGGTCTAAAGCACCCTGTTATTAAGACCAGCTACCTGCAATTACTGCAGGTTTGAATCTCGCCAGGCTCAAGGTTGACTCAGCCTTCCATCCTTTCTAAGGTGGGTAAATTGAGGACCCAGTTGTGGGGGCAATAAGCTGACTTTGTATAAATATACAAAAGGATGAAGGCTATTGCTTAGCGCATTGTAAGCCGCCCTGAGTCTCCGGAGAAGGGCGGCATATAAATCAAAATAAATAAAAAAAATGGCAACTCTGTCAAATGCCTAGGAAAATCTTGCAAGGCCAGTTCGGTATAAAAGTCAGATAGCGGTCTTTTTGATAAGTAAAGGAATTGTACGTACCTGGAGCAACCTTGCGCAGTCAATATTTTAATCTTTAAATGACCTGACTCGGCAGTCTAGCTCTTGCAGATTTCTCAAAGCATGGTGTACAGTAGTGGCCGAAATTGTGGAAAAGTTTTGGGAAAAGTGTTATTTTCTAAACCTTAGCTAATAACACCACTTTTTTTAGGGGGAGTAGTACCATAAAATTACATATCCATGGAAAGATAATCGAATCAAGAATGTAACGCAATCACTTTTATGAGGGATTTGCAAT